ATAAAGAGCGATAACTGTTCCTGAAGTACACCCTGAGCTTGCCCCCCCCCCCCCACTTTTTGAAACGTTCGTACGCCTATGCACCAACAATAAAGTCACCATCACATGACACCAAAATTGTGATGCTCGAGATATTGTGCGACAAATAAGTTCAAATGCTCACTGAGATCGTGCTCTTATTCAGACCAAGATGATGGCAGGTGAGCTATGTTATGAGCATTGACCCACATGCATGAGCATCATCGCCTGTCCCTATTCCGGCGCCTGGTTCGGGTCAATCGAGCAATATGTAACGCTTATTTTATTTCGAATACAAATGTCTCGCAACGTAACAGACGTCCAGTGTCATGAAAGCTCAGGGAGCTAGTACATTTGATCAGCCCCCGAAACATTAGATGGCCCCAGAGAAGGAAACATTAGGGGGCCCCAGATAATAAAACATTCTCTGGGGGTCCCTTCAGAGAAAAACAGGCGACCCCAGAGAAAGAAACATTAGAAGGAAACATCAGGGGACCACAGCGAAGGAAACATTAGGAGACACCAGAGAAGAAAGTGGACTCGGGCACGCTTAGGCTGGAGTCAAGACGGTTATTGGGTCCCAAAACAGTTACGGCGCCAGGGAAGGTCGGGGCCTCTGACTCCTTGAGACGGCCTATGCGTTCCGGGATGACTGTGGAAACCTGGAGAAGGTCGATACCTAGATGGTCGCTTCGGCAAGACACGGCCAGGAGCACATAGGGAATGCGTTGGGTGCAAGGCCACCGCAAGTGCAATTAGTCCCTTACATAGTCCCGAAAAGCGTAGGGCGCCTCAAGCAGCGAGGTCGATGGTGCTGAATCGGCCAGGGGGGCATTCGCTGAACGGGGACAGTGATGGGACCCCAAATGCCAGAGGTTCCTTGCTTTGGTGGAAGGCAAAGCCCCCTGGCAGCGAAAGGAAATGTGATAAGTAACGATGAGAGTCCATAGTGAGATAATGGAACGGCCCTGTATCAGTCAGCGGCCTTATGTTGAACGGCACCCCCACTCTAATTCAGCCAAAGACTTTTTGGTCTAGAATCTCTAACTGGATTCTCTTGGCCAATTATTGAACCAACTGCGACGAAAAGGGATTTGTTTGCGTCAATGAGGTCCTCTGCGTCCATGCAAGGCCAACTGCTTGGATCAGATAGCCTGCCACGTTGGGAGGGAACAATGCATGATGCATCCCTCTATGGGCCTCCAGATTGACCAGGGGACCCCGTCCCGTGCCGGCAGAATCGCAGACTATAGGCACCCCGCGCCGGACGGAATGTCCCTTCAGTCCCTGACTGGGGCAGTAATGCGTCTCTTTGTATTTTACCCAGGGGACCCCTTGCCTGGGAAAGGTAAGTGGTGTCCTTAGTGTTCAGTAGGGTAGATGGAAATGAAGTCAAAAATGAACTGCGCGTCCTCCAAAAGGCCAACGAATGCTTGCCTGAGGATGTCCATCCTTTCTCAGAATCGACTAGTAAAACAGTTATATCAAACATCTTCGAAGGGCGACCCTGTGCACTCACAGCCTCTAGGAGCAGGACCATCGACACCCGGGGCCGCAGTTTTCGTTAAAGCGAGCGACGTTAGCCGTCACAGCCAACAACGGACGGCGGGCGCCGGGCGTGCAAGAGCGACCATGTGTCGTGAGACAATGCCTCCAAAAGTCTCAGAATAAATTCGTGGCCTTCTTACATTGGGTTGCTGGGTACATTTCATCTACATAATTTGGTGGATATGCTCTGAACACTAACATAGCTGCAGCAACTCGAAAAATAGGGATTCCACCATGATGTTTAACACGGGCTCAGGTGGAGAGGTCAAATCGACCCCCCAAAGGTTTTTCCAGAATGGTTTCCGAACGGCGCGGCGTAACCGCGCCGAATTTTGCATAGCTGTAAGCAGTTGAATGGCGGATCGTTTGATAAAAATAGATATGCCTTGTAAGGTCATTCAAATAAGATATGTCTCGTGTGTAAGATATGCCTATGGCAGGTCAAAGTCAGGCCACGGTTTCAGCGAAGGCAATTTCTAGGGAATCGTTCCATCTGGTGCAAAAACGGAGTGTTTGACAAAGCCGTGCATCTCTTAGATGCTTTCTTAGAGAACACAAATATTGAATGAGCAGATTACGTTGACCCAAGGTCAGGTGTGAATGTCAGACTAAGGTCAAACCCAACCTATTTCATTGCTCTAGTGCTTGCTGCATGGGGTAGTTTCTGGTGCTGATTTCGAATTATTGATAGCATGAACCGCATTATACATCTTATATTGACTTGCCAGAGGTCAGAATGGGTCCTTGATCTAAGATGACCCAGGTTGACATTTTGCTCTAGAAGCATGATGCCAGCGTAATTTTTGTCGCTTATTCAAATGCAAAACTCAGAGCAGTCTTGTATGATTTCGGTCACCATGACCTTCAAAACGTAAAACAGTGTCACTGACCTTAAATGAGCTCGTGACCTTTTGCTTAGAAAGTTATCTTTTTTTCGGGGCCCTTTGGAGACCAGCCTGGAATTTGACGTTGATTGACTTTATTTGACCTGAATGCCATGATTTAGAAGCCTCAAACTTTGGCCTAAGTGAGTCCACGTACAGTTCAACACACCCCCTAAGTTTGGTGCATCTAGCTTACTTGGTTCCCGAGATCTCAGCGGGGTCAAATCGATCTCCCCCCGCCCCCCACCCGAGCGAAGGGTATCTAGCCGACCACCTGGGCGCGTGCTAAAGTTCGCAGGGCTGTTAATGCTAATATGTTTCCATTATTCATCTGAAAATGGTACAGATAAACTAAACGGCTCAGATTGCCCTATAACCGTGCGAATCGATGTATAATGCGCCCAAATGTATTTCTTTCAGATACGTGACCGTTTTCGTTTGCCCGCTGGCCGTCACATAGTGTTAGCCGCAGGGCGGACACCACCTGACCTATGGAGACTGCAACACCGGGCGTCGGTTTTTTTCTTGGGCTACGAACGCGCATGTGTTTTCCCGGTGTTTTCAGTGCTCGGTCCTGAATTAAGGAGCACGATTTCTGGGCAAACATAGGATGGTTATGACAACTTTTTTTTGCCCCACTCCGATCATCAATCTATGTTCAATCGACGGGATCCGCAATACCTCTGAAGAAACTCGATTTTTTAGGAAAGCCCCTGCGTGTATCGGTATAGGAGTCCAACGAAGCACTGACATGAATCGCGCCGGCAGTTTATTTGATACATACTCGTAGCTATCAAAAATAGAAAGGGTTACGAATTGCTGGTTCGCTGGGCCCTGCACCGGTTAGTGGGAAAACAAATCATCAGGCGAAAAACTGATCAGCGTGCAAGAAAATGAACATCTTTCGATCTGCTTGTTGGACGAGTATGTTGAAGACATTTGTTTAGAATGTGCAAAACGTTCCGGATCGGACTGCGTATAACATACATCATGTTGGTCAACATTTAACGATTATCCGTTGTGAACCCTGGGAGTCAAACCGTATGGTGACCAACAAAAAGACTGCGCAATGTGTCAGTGCGCCTTGGGCTATCGTTGGTCTCATTAAAATCGTAGGGGGCGCCGCCGGGTATGAATACCGAACTACTGCTAGCTTCGCACACGCCACGACGGTATTGCGCGTGTGTGAACCTCAAGCATAGACACTGTCGAAGCACGTTTCAGATTAGGTTTACGTCAATTCCAAAAATTACCAGCGTTCCAGGCTTCTCGAAACGGGTCCCAAACCCAAGGCTGACTGCTACACTTCACGTCCGCCGAGCGAGCAGCTATATTTTAATGGTAAGCGTGCAGCCCCTCACCGGAGGCAGGCGTCCGCCGGGTCTATTTCTCGCTGAGCTCTGTATAGGCAGCGCGCGCATGCAGCGAAATCTCCTGGTATGAGCTGCTGGAAATAGCCCTCTTGCCGTTTAATCACCTGACTTCATCACTCCCGCGACGCAGCACCATGCAAACACCGCACACCGAGCTGGGACGACCGTCGGCCTGATCGTGTGCCTGCACCAGTCAGACGCGCGAGCCACACACACATGGCCGCCGACTGTGACTACAGCCAGACCCGGCGGACGGCCATGTCCGTGACACTGCCCCACGGCGGCAAACTCACTGAATCACCGCGATTGGATGGCGTCAGTCATAAACCACCAGTCCGCCGTGAAGGCAATCCGTACGCTACTCGCACGCGGTGTCGAACCCTCTATACGGGTGCGGAGTTGGGCCACTCTATATGGACATAGTGTTAGACCCTCCACACGGCCGCGGCGTTGGACCCTCTATACGGGCGCGGTATTGGACCGCTCCGCCCTGCACCGGTCGGCGAGCGCCGGCGGGCAGCAGACATTCGGCTGCTGGTCGATAAACTGCGAGCGGTTAGTCACCATGGTTACCTGCTGCGCTATATCCCAGGCAGCCGGCTCCCGGCGGACCCGACTGGCCACTGCACGGCTTCGGTCACGCCTCCGCGCCCTGGCAGACACAGCCGCAGCCGGCCTCCCAAAGGGCAGCGTCTCGGGAGCCGATCCCGGACCCGCGCAGACACGGACTTGTCGTGACCCCAACCCGCAACCCTCGTGAGACACTCGCAGCGGGCGCGTGTCGGCTGCAGCAAGGGTCCGGCGTGTACAAACTTCGATGCGTGTACAAACTCGTTCGATGCCGCCGGTCCAGCGTGTACAAACTTTATGACAGGACAGAATGCCTGGTGCAAGTCAAGACAAGACGACCCACTCAGGCCAAATCGAGGCTGGCCCCAGGTGCTCTGCCATACGGTTAACGAAAATGTCATTAATGACCAAGAATTTGCTGCTATGGTAGGCTTATCATGCAGCCTATGAAAGTTGCGTGATATGCACCACTTTAGGAGCATGTCATGCATTCATACCTGCAACATATGAAGCGTGGGGTTGTGTACAATGAATGTGTCTCAGTTACGAACCAACATTCTTGAAGTACAAACAACGCGCAAGTACGCAGCGCGCCAAAACAACTAGATCATTGGCGGGCATTCTTTTCCCTTTCACATGCGTCTAGTACACGAGCAGAAAACGAACCGGATCTGTTTTTGGCGGATGTTTTCCTTCCAGTGCAAGTCGGACGACGAAAATGCGTTTGTACACCATGCGAGTTTTTGTAAACCCACATGCTTGCATCAGCCCAGTTACGCATGATGTGGCCATTCACATTCAACATTTGTCATACATGTGTACATTCTACCCCGGTATGATGTACAGCAGGCGTAAGACAGTAGGAACATACACGACCCAACTCCTCGAAAGAACGAGGAAACACAGACATTCTTCATAGACAGACCGCATGTCTAACCTTCATGAAAAGACAAACAAACCGTGCAGCACTGATGTCTGATGGTAAATGACCCCGACACCAGGCCTCTGTGACAACATCTAACATCAGTACAGGATGCGCGACAAGCCTTAAACCTCGTTCAATGACATTCATCACAATTCATAACCCCCATCAGTCACGTCGCCATCCGCTGTTCAATCGTCACACATCCTCTCCATCACCGTCACTGCTCACGTTCTGTTTAGACTCAGACCCCTTGAGTTTGTCGATGAGCTCTTTGGCGACATTGAATACTCCGTGAGTTTGCACACCACAGACGAAGCAGCGCTTTGATTTCTTGTACTCCTTCAACGCACAGCCTTCGCAGAAGTAGTGTTTACACCTGGGAAAGGACACCGTGATCACCACATGACGATACGCATCACAGTCCCGCGCGGCACACCCTCACGATGGAACGGCACGAGGGATGTCGACAGTCCCGTGGGGTATGATGGGTGCTGCTACCAAAGACGGTGAACACCAGGAAGACCAGCCCGTCCTACGCCTTTGTCACATCCCGCTTGGTCGTTCTACGGATCAGTTGGAGGTTGGTTCACTTTACTCCGATAAGTTTGCACCTTGCTTGGGCCGGTGACATTCTACAACTCGTGGGCATGGGTCGTTTGCTCACGATACCCAACTTAACAAATCACAGAACCAGTATTTAATGGCCAATGATAGCGGCGGCATTTCGACAAGTTTGCTTCCAAGAACATCTCGGGTGCTTGGAAACATTCATGCGCAGCAGAAATCCAAGTTGATAGTGCTTTGGCGGGTGTTACGAAATTATTTACCGTAACTGGTAATATCAACCAAATCTGACCATGTTCTAGCCAAAAAAGTTTTCGGAAAAATATGCTGAAAGATAGCCAGCCCGCACGGCGAACCACTCCATATTGGTAGTGGTGACACGTGCGGCGTCCAGCTTAGGCCCATACTTTCGCACGTGCCATTCCCAGGAGCAGCGTGCCAATTTCCTGTCGCTATCACACCTGCTCACGAATATTTGCATGACATCTGCCCATTTATGCAAATCGCATTTTTGCATTCGTACCACTAACCAACCACCCAATACCCAAACACGTTGTCTTTTCCACGGGCGCATCCGTGGTCGCGCGTCCGATTACCCTTTGTCGCAGCTTGGCACCGGGACAGCAGCCACATGCCCTGTTCCAGGCTAAGGAAGCAGACATTGCTTCAAATTAAGCCGAGCACCTCAAAAACATGATAGTGAAACTAGCGCTGAACGCTAAATGTTCTCCACCCGCGGTACGTCGCCCGCTGTCACACACGAGCATGAGGCATTGCTGCTCCCAGGAGCTGACCTGTGCCGACAATTTCGTTCGTTACGGGGAAGTTTGTCTCCTATCGTCAGTCACTCGTTATGTGCGTGCCCATCTAAGACGCAAGTCAACGCGCCGCTCAAAACCATGTTTCAAAAATCGCTAGGGTGAGCGATACTAGCTGTAATTCTACATAACCACCATTCCTGCAAAATATCACTAGCTCCCAGTTCTCTAAAACATCATTAACTCTCACCTTTAAAATACAAGCGAATAATCCCTTCAAGGATAACGCTTTCTAATATCCATGATTCAAACTACCCCCTCCCCTCCCCACAGTCCATTTTGCGAGGGCATCCCATCATACGCGCCATGGACACTCACTTCGTGACGACCGGCTCTTTGAAAGACTCGCGACATATGAAGCAGCGAAACGGCAGGTTGTCCTCATCGTCGCTGATCTCGTAGTTCTCGTCGTTGCTGGCGCCGTACGTGTTGTTGTCCATCTCCCGCTCCAGCTGCCAGCCAAACTTGTAGTCGGTGCGGTCGTGCATGAAGATGCAGGAGTCTGGGAAATGTCGCTGCTTGTAGTGAGTAGTCCCAACCGACCTGAACACGCCCTCAGGGCGGGGCCTGTCGCCAAGGATGGCAATGGTGCATCACTGTCATACGTGGTGCGGGCATCACGCGGTGAGGAACATCTGCTTCATTACGTTATCATAAAACATTGTTGCCAGAGTAAACAGTCTCCTTTGAATGATAACGAGCATTAGGACAGGATCAACGAACACAAATGATCTCCACAGCTAAAATAATGGGTCAATTGACACAGAAATGCCGTCTGCAGATGCGTAAGACTTGTTCTTCGGACCACGACGCTCAACGTTGCGCTGCGTCACTAATCGTCCCTGATGCGAGGCAGCGGCACGTGCCACAGCCAATTACAGAAATCCTGGCCAACTTGGAGCTGTTCCGGATTTACATGCTCCATACGTGGACCGTTGGGGATCTATTCCTGACGTCATTTATTTCAACTGCCATTCGCTCTGTCCGTTACAATTCGATTGCAAACTATTTTGCCTTAATGGAATCAAATACGGCACTGCAAGCCGATGGCACTAACTCCAATTCACCCACGCGAAAGTCAAAACGTGTCAAAATTGCAGCGTAAAAACAGTTACGAAAACTTGGAAAACTTGGAAAACATCGGAAAGTGACACCTTTTGTTTCACAACCCGAAATTTTTTTGGGGGGACGTCAAATCACACGCCAGAAACCACACTCGTCCGCGGTACTGATTTGCTTTACTGTACTGTTTTACCCACCGGCAATATCCGTAAGTTAACAGCACCCAGACATCCATAAAGTCGAAACAACTTCGGTCGTTGGTTTCCTTTTTCACTAGACATATCGAAATCGAAAGTCATTGGACGGCTGAATGCCAATGGAAACTTAATTCAAACAGACGTAACAACTCACAGCATCTCGCACACCCGATTCATAGCTCTATCATCTGGTGCAAGCATATCACAAGCACATCTCCAAAGTGAATTTCGATTGTCATTGATTTAACTACATGCCTTCATAAACAGTTTCACGACCACTTGCAGTCGCTACCACATGTGACAAGTGATGCAACAACGCCAACAGTGGCCATGTCTGTCCATTTAAACAGGCCGAACGCAGATCTCGACATCAGACAAACGGCTTTGCGGTGAGTCACTTAAATGCTCGAGTCAGGTTCACTAGCGTGACAGAGCTGTTGGCGCTCACGATGTCATGATATGGTTCTCTCAACACCTTTCGAACGATGTTAAAATTAACGCGACTAGTTCGTTCAGCATCTGTGGCAACGGATAGAAGCGATGAATCTATTAACGGTGGCGCTTGGCAATCGCTTGTCGTGCGAAATGGCATACCATGAATTCAGAATGAGGCTATTCTGAGCCACGCTATGCGATATAATCGCGATCCCCGTCACATGAAAGGGACGTGCCGGAACCGGCACTCATCTATCACATAAAACCTGCACGGGCGTCGGTGGAGGAGTGCAACTGGCGACCAGCCGGCACTCATCTATCACATAATGCCTGCATGGGCTTCAGTGGAGGAGTGCGACTGGCGACCAGCCGGCACTCATCTTCCACATAATACCTGCGCGGGCGCCAGAGGAGTGAAGCGAACCACTCACTCCAAGGGCCCGCCCGAAATCCAAACAGTAGCGATGAGCCCTCGGGCATAACACTTATGCCCACAACGGGCGATGGTCAGCCGTCGGCAGCGACGAGCGGGCCGCCGCCGCCAGGCCTGACCGGCGCGTGCTGGGCTCGTCCCTGAGGGCCCCATCGGCCCCATGGCTCCATGGATAACGCCCCCCCCCCAGGCCCCAGGCCCTCCAGGATGGTGGTCATCAAGAATCTCTAACGTGAACCGAAACCCTTCAACTTGCGGATAAGTACGCGCTCAAAACTAGAGTGAAGCAAATCCATAAATCAACACCTCGTTGGCGGCACAGGGCCCGCTGGGCGCAAAGGCCGGCCACTGGCGCCGCGGCGTGGCCGGCGCCAGTGGTAGCCGGCCAGCGGTACTGCTGCCGCCGCGCAGTAGCCGGCCCACTGGCGCCGCGGCGTGGCCGGCCTGCTGGCGCCGCGGTGTGGCCGACCTACTGGCGCCGCGGCGTGGCCGGCCTGCTGGCGCCGCGGTGTGGCCGACCTACTGGCGCCGCGGCGTGGCCGGCCTGCTGGCGCCGCACAGTAGCCGGCCCCGCTGGCGCCGCGCCGTGGCCGGCCCGCTGGCGCCGCGCCGTGGCCGGCCCGCTGGCGCCGCGCCGTGGCCGGCCGCTGGCGCCGCGCCGTGGCCGTGACCGTCGGCCGACCCGGAACGTGCTGGGTCTGGTTCCAATAGTCCGCAAGTGTAACAGGCATGGACATGCCAATGGAGAGACACGTGGGCCTTGCCAATGCAAACAGCAAAGCAAAGCAAAGCAATCCGGCTGTGACGAAAATTTGCAGACGATGGTAAGTGAGAAGTGCAATGAAATTGGATTACAACTATCTGGATTCGTTACTGCGCGGCGTTACACGCACCGTCTGACTACCAGCTCTTGGGTCCAACAGCTTTAGGCTCTGATGCTGAATAGGCCCAAGTGGTTACTCCTAAAGTTTTCGTAAGCTTCGGCATGAGTAGTGCGTACCTCGGAAAAAGCTAACCGAAGATCTGCTGATTCTGACTGATTTAGCATTATTCCTAGAATTGTGTCACTGCACAATTAAGTTCGAGCACTGGGCTGTGGCTCCCCGGTTTGACCGGCACAGACCGCTGCGACGGTCGCCGATCACGACATCAGCAGTGCGAGCGGGTCTCAAGGCGACGTCACAAGTGGCCACAAACGCCTGGCGATAACAACTACCACGGATGCCACTCCCAGAATGTTTTAATGCACACAGGTGCCGCAGCGCGGTGGACATTACTGGCCTCGCGCAATCCACCAGCGTTTGCCGCGCAACCGGCCGCGTCAGGAGGTCATGACGCTCACCTCTAAAGCCGCAGAAGCCGGTCCCGAACCCCCAGCAGCCGCCGTGGAACCAGAACGTCAGGAGGCCATAGCACCCACCTCCGAAGCCGAAGAAGCCGGTCCCGAACCCCTGCAGCCGCCGTGGAACCAGAATGTCAAGAGGCCAAAGCACCCACCTCTAAAGCCGCAGAAGCCGGTCCCGAACCCCCTGCAGCCGCCGTGGAACCAGAACGTCAAGAGGCCATAGCACCCGCCTCCGAAGCCGCAGAAGCCGGTCCCGAACCCCCAGCAGCCGCCGTGGAACCAGAACGTCAAGAGGCCATAGCACCCACCTCCGAAGCCGCAGAAGCCGGTCTCGAACCCCAGCAGCCGCCATGGAACCAGAACGTCACGAGGCCATAGCACCCACCTCCGAAGCCGCAGAAGCCCGTCTCCTTGAAGTCCTTGCAGATGTCGGGCGCGTAGTCCCAGCGGACGGTGGATCGGATGTTGGAGGGCGCGCGGATGGGGCCGTGCCGCACGCCGCCGCTGCTCGCGTTGCCCTGCGGCGTGTCGCGCTTGGAGATGTACTGGGCGTAGTTCGCCTGGCCCCGGTACACCTTGTCGTCCGCCTTGCCCTCCAGTTCCTGGCGGCGCGGGCGGCGTCAGCGGAGGAACAGAACATCGGCCGCGGGCATCACATGTAGCTGGACTATCAGGCCAGCTAGGCTTCCGGGTAGAACAGTAAATGGGTGCTAATGGCAACATGGTAAGGGCCCAGTTGAAAAATTCGCTGCTGAATACGCTGGTTTTCAGCACAGCTGGCATTAATGTCATCGATTCAAGGCATTGCAGTACAAACTTGACACCCGTCGGTTCACAAAAACCAAAACTTAGTCTTGAGAGTAAGAAACTCACACATCGGCCGCATGAAAAGGCTCCATATTGACCACATCACACCTGGCACTGCGCTCTGCAAAAAAGCTGTCACGACGCCACCCCAGGTCTGGCTCCGCAGCCGCACCCCGTCGCCTAACGCCAGGTGCCCGGGGGCCCAGCCCCGGCCGCTCGTCGACCCTGTTGATCAGCCTACCTTGTTGACGGCCATGGCGCGCTCGAAGATGGCCTGGTCGTCGCGGTCGCGCTCCGTGTCGATCTCGACCGTGGCCGTGGCGCCCATGTCATGCGGGCCCTCGCGCGCCGCCGTCCGCTTCGACCTGACCGCAAAACGGCGCACAGATGCACGCGCACGCACTGCCATGGCGAACGTCGGGTGTGACAGCACGGCACGGTACAGTACAACACGGAAGAACATGACAAAGCGCAGCACAGCACAACACGGCGTGGCACGGCCGGTATGGTATGGCACGGCACGGGACGACACGACCCGCCCGCACGGGCCACGACTAGCGTGATACGCAGCCTATAGAGGCCGCATCATAGGGTGAAAAACGTACGTGCTTGCTGTGGTGATACTTGAAAAATAGCGTGGCATGACTAATGGATGAACCACAATCTAGGTAAGGACTGGATGACATGCAAGCACACATACACATTTGGTTAAATGCAAGACACTAATTTAAAAGCTTAATCAACTACCCTCGCGGCCAACCGTATGCTGTAAGAGAACACCTACCTATAGGATACTCCCACCTTGTCCTCATCACTTGAAGAGGCATTGTCCACCTCACCCCTCGGTGTCCCGGCGGCCTTCGCAGTTTTGGACTGAAAATATGACAAAATGACGCAGCGTTAAACCGACTGCCTCGCGGAAACTTCAGTGCCTACTTCAATAGCTACAATTCAACTAAAAATTTAATCTGATGCAGAGGTATGTAATGGCATCTGCAAAACCTGCCTGTTGCTAAGACCATTAACAACCTAAACAATTAACATCAAATGCATTCTGGCAAAATCGGTCTCCTTTAAACATGACAGGAAAACCAATAATGTGGCACAGCCCAGGGCCTCACAGATGCGTAACTACAGCATGGTTCATTGCCTGCAGATCTTTGTAACCCCAGTTTGCCTAAAAAGTAACTTTATCTTTTTCTCCATAACCATGCACTACATTGCGATGACCTGAAAGATACAGGTTTCTGGATTTGGGGACACTTCAAAAACGGAGGTCATTTCTAAGACCGATATAATGGCCTGAATGCAAAAAGCTCCACAAACATGAACCCATCAGGGACTGTCCATACCTTACATTATGCAAGGGGGGGGGGAGGATTTTTATGAAGTATAACTGATGCATAAAAGGGGAAGTGCTGAAAAGCTCTATGTTACACTAAGGTATGGTTGCAAAATCATGTTAAGGTCATTTCTTAAGTTTCAAAACATTAACCTGAACTATGGATAGGCCCTTCTCATGATAAGCAACATGTCTGTCTTCACTCTGTACCTCTAGCCCAATCAGAGGGGAAAACAAACATGATCTTTTCAGACATTATACTTGCCATCATTTTATAGCATGGATGGTCTTTCACCCAGCATTTCCATGCTTAAACCCATTAAATCAAAACATTTATATCTTAAGGAAATCCATGCAAACTTTATTAAGTCTGTACTACCAAGCATCTAAATAAACAAAACCTTTCAAAATATTTCACCTACCGTCTGAAACATCGGATTTCTAGCAGTCTTCTTCTCAATTTTCAAAACCTTTGTATCGTCATCACTGCCTGTAAAAACAGATGCCAGTTAACATATTTGGACACTGTATGCCCACCAGATAAACATGACATGAATCATGTATCCAAATTCTGGTGTACCAGATGCCAAACATGTAAATAAGGTTCTCTAGAGATGTGCCAAAACACAGGCACATATTCTACTTCACAGCTCTCAAGCATGGCAAGCACATTCTCAGTGACATTTGGTTTCACAGATCCAAATGCATCAGGGACAAATGACAATGCAACTTGAAGTAATTATCCATCTGGAGTGTGTTATAACATCAGAAAAATTGCCCATTTGCCAAAACTGGGAGCAGCCTTAACTTTTGAGAGATATTGAGGACAGACCTCAAAAGGTGGCCACTCAACATGCCACAATATTGTGATAGACATGGATACATTAAAAAGCTATTCAGTAATAAACTATACTGTTTTTTACTAAATCTTTGCACTGTTTCAGAAGATAGGAATCATGGCAAATCATTTCCAGTCAAGGGACTTCACAGTCTGCTGAGATAGCATGAACAATGTGATACTGTGACAATATCACCCCTTTTACACCTTCCCTGGTGTCCTAAAAAATCATCACTTGTAATAAGGTAGCAGATGTGCATTGTGATGCATCCATAATGAGCTAAACTGGATGATAACAGTGCTTAAAATGCTGCATTTTGTGATAAAGGAAATGGGGGGGGGGGGACATTTGGTTTCAAGAATAAGGATTTTAACTTACTGTGCTCATCTGATGCCTGCCTCTTTCTGGCTCTGAATTTCTGCTTTCCTTTCTTGAATGAGAATGCACAAGGTCCCTTTCCAGAAGCATGGTCATCATCTGCCATGCTGGAGCATAGGAAACTGGGCAAAAGCCTTCCCCTTAGATCTGAAACAAGTCCTGGAAAATTCAGAGTTTCCTATGAAAAATGTTCAGGCCATCATGTAATGGGTGTGCAGATCCATCTTGAAGCACCATTTCATAAGTAACACAGCGAAGGAGATTATACCTGTCCTGTGAGTTTGGTTTCTCTGCCCTCACAGCTCAGTTTGTTGGTAGCCTGACTTCTGATCCAGCAAGCAAGTTTGACCAGGGGTTTCTCCAAAGCACTGGAGCTAGTAAGACTAAATTCATGTGTGGAAAACTAAGAAATGTTGATTTGGTATAAACTGTGCCATAAAACTAAACAGCTTCACATCACATGGCTTTGTGAAGCCATGCACTGTTGGTCATGATTATTTTCAGACTTGGCATTACCCATGGAGCTAATGAAATCAGATTGATTGGCACATAACAACAGTCATGCTGGAAAAACAAATTGATTTTTAATGTGCTTTTATGTTACTACTCTCAGCATATTTTTCTTATGAGATATGGACTGAACAGGAGTTACAACCATCCCAGCCAGGGCCAATCATGGATTGACCTGGAGGACCCAGGCCAAGTGAATAGGATGGCAGACCTGAACCACTGGGCATTTCAACTTTTGGTCAATCACATTTGTTATAACCAAAGGCAGGCAGTGAGCAATATCTGCACAGGCCATTGCAGTACCAGTATATACGGCAGCTATTACTTTTACATACTGCTACCCCTTTGCCTGTGAGTGTCAACATATTAGAATTTCAAAGGTTCATCCATTTTAACTATCATATTGACTGATTTCTATGACATTTGACACCTGTATGTCAAAAATTGTGATGTGTGAGGAATTGTATGGCAATACCACAAATCAGTCCTTGGGACAGCAAAAATAGATGTAAGTTCACACACTACGCAATACTTCTAGTGCCAAAAATTCCACTGAACTCATATTACTGTAAATTACTTCGGACAGCAGTGTGATACTCCATTGATATGATGCCTTTGAAACACAAATGCACCCCTTGGAACATCATAAAACATGCAGCTATCATGGCAAGCAGGACAAGTGGGACAGGATCTACCACACTAAACGGAGCCGCGTGGAATGCAACGCAAAGGAAGAAAGACACCGCTGATACCCCCGCTAACCGCTCGATGCCAAGCCTCACACACTCACCCCAGAACCCCTCTGCAATCGGCTCCGACACGACCTCCACCGACCACCCTCTGGCCTTGACAAGAAGGGCATAGCGCTGCAGGAGAGCTTGAGGGAGATGGGAATGGGGGGGGGGGGGGGGGGCGGGGGGTAAGGGGCAGGAAAATATTTTTGCAACATACGATTAAAAAAGGAAAAATACAGCTTCAATATCAGTTCCACTTATTCTCAAACTTTTGGACTTAAGTACTACCTGGCAAATTACACTTTTTATCCATACGTAGCTCATTCGAGTAAAATGTTGGAAAACCATAGCCGCATAGTCTTAGATACCCACCAGAATCTTACACAATGGAAATTCAGACGCAAATTACATTTTATTCGCAATTTTACGGACTTCAACAGTTAATTAAAATAAGTAAGTTAGACTCATAATTCTTAGAGCCATCCGCATGGTTGGGAGTGCTCAGCTGACGGATTTAAGTGGGCTTCGTGATTTTACCAGCCTTGGATTGAGTAATTGATCGAAGACGAAGGATGCGCGACGCTGCGCCTCAATAGCACCTTTGTTGTGAGATCACGTAAAAGTGTTGGAATGCCACCGATTGAGGTTGTAGTTTGCGATATGATGGTTTTGTTGTGTTGACTGCACTGCAAGTGCTGCAAGCGATGGGGGTTCAGCTCTGAGCAATGCAACTGCTCATTGAACTGTCGCGGGTTTGTCAGTTCCAAGCACAGGTGCAAGTAAATATGCTGACTGATCAAGCTCTCTTACTCCAGTGATAGTGGAGTCCAAAGGTATGCCTCTGAAAATATATTAATGGTGGTGTCACGTGAGCAGTTTCCTATTCAAGGTTTGACTATTCCCATTCAACCCTAGAAGCAAATTTCATATGCTCTGTGCCTTTCAGTCAGCAAGTGATATTAGCAATTTTGATGGGATCTGAATTATGGCCCACCAAATTGTGTGTGTTCTGTTTTAGTCCTCAAGTTAGGCCTTAGAGGATTACAATGATAGAGTGCTACAACCCAGATGCCTTAAATTTGCATGCTCCCTTACATATGCATGCACTGCTTATGCACTGATCATGAAGCATAGTATTGCATTACAGTGTCTTATCTGACCTCACCTTACTATGGCTTATGGTGATCAGGAATTTGAAGATAGCTTGGCATGTTGATTTCAGTATGTTCAAGCTCTTGTTCAATTAATCTGATCCCATATTTTAGAAATCTGGTTGTGACTTTGATGAAATGGATAGCCCCTGCTGCTTTGTGGTTCAATATATTGCAGCCTTGGGATAATGATTCCAGTGATATCCTATATTTTGGCATCTCTGTTCCAAGTCAAAAATTTTTCCTCATGTGGGGAAGGATTCCAACTGCCCCACGCATCTTGTCAACATCACTGCCAAAGTTTGCATGTTGGAACATTTGTAGGACATCAAAGGTGGGTCAGGAAGTTGAGCCTCGCAGGAAATAACTGATGTCTAGCTTCTGGACCCAGTTTTTCAGGAGGAACAGTCTAGTGGGTTTGGTTTCCAAATTCTTCTATTTCCCAGGTTTGATTCCCCATTTCCTGAGGTGCCTGCACTTCCTGCTAGGGTGGGATGAAGGCAACACAGTATAGTCTCAGCAGCTCTGTGGATTGTGAAGCCCAAATAATGAGGAGGACCCAGAGGCTGCTTGGTCACCATGCCCAATCAGCAGATGCCTACACTTTGTTAACTACCAAGTCTATTGTGTTAATGCCTCTATAGGGACATTAAGTCTCAAAGTATCAGCTTTAACCTGGAAGACCTTGGTGATATAAGGCCAAATATGATTTGAAAGGCTAGTATAGAGCTGCATAGAAGGGTTGATTATCTCATGAAGTACAATGCCAGTGCCAGAGGTTCAGCATGATCATGACATCATTGGACATATTAGAATGTGCTTGTCTTTCACAATCATGTGCGAGGTTTTGTAATAGGATTGGTAGCACAACTCAAAAATGTTCATTGAACGCCTAGAGTAGCACACTGCAAGATACCAGATTTCTTCCACAAAGCTGAACAACATTACATGTTTTTGAGCTATTCATTATTACATGGGTACCTCCAATGTTTAATTGTCTAGGCATTCATGCACAAATCAGTATGTGTAATCAATTGCTAAGGATGGTAGGGTGCATTGAATTTGAAGGGGTTGCTATTTGAACATGCAACTGCTTTCTGCCAACTTGTAATGCTGTGTTGATGTGCCATGGAGTAACAGCTGTCCCAGAGATAGGATGAGACCTGGGTGTGGTTGGGATACATTATGTCTCCTCATGTTTCCATGAATAATTGTGGAACATCATGGCAAAAGACAACATCACATGGTCGGTACTGGATAGGACATAAGGTGATTGGAGAGCGCAGAAGTAACTGTGTCATGCCAAAAATTTTGAGAAATGACATCATTTGTACTGGTCCAGAACTCTTTTGTTAACTACCATGGCATGTTTGGATATATTGGATCTATTAACATATTTTGCAGCATACTTTTTTAGATCAAAGATGCATCCTTCAATTACATCTCATTATTCACTTCCTTCCAGCATCAATTCATGTAATCCACACTTACCTGCATACTTGTACACCAAAGTGAACATTGCTTTTTGTACTGACCTTTGCCTGAAGTTTTTGTAAGGCTCTGTGACAAACCCTCCCAATTAAGTCAGCCACAGGGCTATGCTAGGAACATCTCAAGAAGTGAAATGGTCAGATCAGCCTTTTTTGAAGAGACTCTTCATTTATCTCTATGGGGCTAATACTAAGCTTGATAACTAGAAGTGAAAGGTTCTATGCCCCATGCAAAGTTTCTGCACTTAAAATCAGCTGAGTCACCTGTTTTCTGTTTCATATGAGTAACAGGTGGTTGCCAAATTTGACATTTTCTTTCTGCACACTTGCTTGCGAAAGGTCTTTTACATGCTGCCCTAAATGAGGCAGGCTGCTACCTGAACTTACAGCAGGCTCAAATTGTCACTGGACATATGCTAGCGTAATGGAGATATGTGCTAAGGTAATTATGTCGGAGAGTTCAATGTTTTAATGGGCTTACTGACTGTCTTTGTAATTCCCCATACTTATAGCAGTAACCTCCACACAAGTGGTGAAATATGCCTCACTTGACCTGGTGGCTAGGTGATAAGAGTCAGAAGTGATTATTTTTGTTAGTGTTGTGTAGATGGCATATTTTTGTGCACCATATGCCTGGTTTCACATCTTTAGCAGCTATGGTTACAAAGTTCTGAGAGCACTTGTTGGTCCTTGAGACTGCCTGTCTGTCCATCAGTAGAAAATGTGCCAGCACTGTGTCATTCTGGTGCCAGGTGGTCAAGATCTGGGCCTATTTCTGATGTGTGTTCCTTGGTTTCTTTGTACATCATAGATTTTACATCCCCATTTTAATGAGAGCTAAATGGTGAGACTGTGGTAATATAACAATGTTGCAAGAACATCCTGTTTGACCAAATAGTTTGCATGCAATGTCTTGAAAACATCACAGCATAACTTTAGGGGAATGTGCTTCTTGCTGCTCAGTAAACTGTGTGTCAGTGTAAGCAATAGTCCCAAGGGTGAAGCATCAGCTGACCATGCCAGGCTGTGTCGGCAGGATGTCAGAGGACCAGTCGGCGGCGGCGGCGGCGGCGGGCGGCGGCAGCGGCGGTGGCGCGGACCGGGCCCGGCCGCCCGGCGACATGCTGGCCATCAGTGTCGCTATCCCAGACGCCGCCGCCTCCGAGCTAGGTGCGTGCCGGGCTCGGCGCGCCGGTCGCCGCCGGTGACGGCCGGCGCCGGAGCCGGCTGGCGCTTGCGACGGGCACGCCGGTCCGGCCGGGCCCGGTGGACCAGAGGCTTTTGTTGTTGGCAGAGGCTGCTGTGCATGGATCCAGGTGGCGTTTTGGTTGTCTCACCACATATGGGCAAGGCTAATGCTGGAACACCCCACTCCCTTGGTTTTGGGGCGTCACATAGCCCTAATGCACATGTTTCAATATGTGCATTAGGGTTTGTTTGTGGAGGAATCGGTACGTCAGATTTAGCGAAGTTTTTAAGGTTTTGAAAATGTTTCTCGTGCAATTCAACGTTCCTTTCCGTGTAGGCCTCTAACCTCCCTAGATGGCCATTCTCAAACTTAAACATTTCACGGTGGCCGAGCGCGGCACCCCAGCCCGAACCGACGCTGTGCTCGGCGCCGCGCCCAAAACGCCTCAGCCGGCGTGTCCGTGCGCATGACGCCTCCGTCGCCGCGCCGCAGACTCGGCGTCGACCACGCCCGCCGGCGACGAGGGTGACCCGTTCCACCAGCCGGTGGGCCATCTGTCGCCGGGCGCGCTGCGGCGCGGCCCCGGCCGGCCGCGCAAGGACACCGTCAGTCCGGTCGACCAGCGCCGCACCATCGGACTGAAGCTGAAGCGACTGAGCAGGTGGGCTGGCGGCACCGGCCGCCGCCGGCAGGGCTGACCTCGCTGGTCAGCCGCGCTGCTCGGTCTTGTCAGGCGCGTGGTGGGCTTGTGTTGCGTCTTGTCGGCGATGGCTGATGGTCTGTGTGAGATGGTTTACACTGTCTCCAAGTGGCCGGTGCATGTGGGGGCGGATACTGAGACTGCCCGTCAGATCTGGACGGGGCGCGTGGCGGACGCTCACGCCTCTCCGCCTGTCGCCCGGCCTCCCGCCGCGCCGCTCCGCGTGGTGGGCCGTGCTGGCGTCTGACAGAGCCTCGTCGACAGCGGCACGTACGTGCGCGGCGTGCCGCGAGGGCCGCGCGGCCGACGCAAGTCTGACCTGCCGTCGCCGCTGCCGGGCTCGGTGGCCGACCCGTGGGGTGACAACTCGCGCGACGCCGAGGACGACTGCTCGGACACCAGCTCGGTGCAGAGCTCGCTGGACCGCTCGGCCAGCCTCGACGAGTCGCTCGTGTTCCAGGAGCGCTGGTCAGTCGGCGCGGCACGGGCCGGCCGCAGGGGAGCTCGGCATCCGTGGTCACGGCGGGCAGGGTGGGAAATTGGACTGTAACTAGTACCTGCTGTTGAAGGGAGGGTGGCAGGGCAAGAGACACTTGTGTGCTCGTTGCGATCACAATTTGGCCGGACATCATCTTAAGTAAAATGGCTGTGCTGTATATAGGTATTAAAGTGTGCTGTATATAGGTTTTAAAGCAAGTCTTCTTGAATTCTGGCATGTAAAATGGCGCGAGTTGTGTCGTGAAGATAGGTTTTGTGACTGCGATTAACCTGCCTCAAGCTCCAATATTTGCTGAGCGAGCTGCCAGAACTGAATCCACTGAAATCAACAGCAAAACAGCCACACCGCAGACACACCACGCCCGCCTGGAGAGCGGCCAGATGTCCGGCGTACGCTCACACCCACTCCGTGCGCGCTCCGCCAGGCCGGGCAAGGTGTGCGCCCTGTGCAACCTGGGCGAGCGCAGCATCCTGGGCCAGGGCGACATGCGGTGCGTGCCGGGCGCGGCCGGCGCCGGCGGCGACGCGGCCGCCACCGACCCGGCCGCCGCCGACCCGGCCAGGAGGATCAAGACCGTCGTCAAAAAGTAGGCCAGCTTCCGTACACGCGTGACGCTGCCACGCCCGTGGTCGGGCTCGTGTCCAGATGCGCGTAGTGTTGCGTGTTGAGAGCTGTCAAGGCTCGAATTAGCATGACAGGGCATCAAACAGGGCTTTCAAGTACATTTGTTTGTAATCTTCTAATGACATTTGAATATTAAAATAAGCTTGTAAACTGTTTGTGACTGCGACGAAAGGGCTCGGCAATGGCTGCTGACACAGGCCAGACCGCACTCGATGGTGGCGCAGTATTTTCGTGTGTGTATGTTGACTGCCCACAAGCGTCATCCCACCGCGGGTCACAGTCCACTGAACCCTTGGTTAGTCACATACCACCTAACGTATGGCCATTGTCCGCAATCCATTCAGCTGCAGTCACCTCCCTTCCAACCGTCGGTCACGTTCGAGCTGACCGTGGCGGGCATTCCGTCCAACCATTGCATGCATTACATATGTATGCAGCACTGCTGGTCTGGTGCCCACGTCTCACGGCCGTCCCTCCCTGCCCCAGAGGGAAGGTGTCCTGCTCCGTGGCCGGTGTCCACGGCTCACGGCCGTCCCTCTCTCCCCCAGAGGGAAGGTAGCCTGCTCGCCGGCCGGTGTCCATGGCTCACGGCCGTCCTTCCCTCCCTCTCTCCCTCAGAGAGGTGTCCTGCTCCGTGGCCGGTGTCCACGCTCACGGCCGTCCCTCCCTCCCCTAGAGGGAAGGTGGCATGCTCGCCGGCCGGTGTCCATGGCTCACGGCCGTCCTTTTCTCCCTCTCTCCCTCAGAGAGGTGTCCTGCTCCCTGGCCGGTGTCCACGGCTCACGGCCGTCCCTCCCTCCCCCAGAGGGAAGGAAGCCTGCTCGCCGGCCGGTGTCCATGGCTCACGGCCGTCCCTTTCTCCCCCAGAGAGAAGGTGGCCTGCTCGCCGCGCAAGGACGGTCCGCTGGGGGACGAGCCGTGCGACGAGCTGACGCTGGTCGGCCACGTGCACCAGCCGAGCGCCGACCAGCTGCTGGACGAGGCCGGCCACTACTACCTGCACGCCGGCTGTGCGCTGTGGTCGCGCGGCGTGCGCTCGCCCGACGACGGCCTCAGCCTGGAGGGCGCCGAGCGGGCCGTCAGCGCCGCCGCGGCCGTCCGCTGCAGCTTCTGCCAGAGGTGCCGGCCGGCCGCAGCGGGAGGACGGGCGGGCGTCGCGGCTGGCTGCAGTCGGCAGATGGGGCGGCGGTCCGGCTCTCGGTCGTCTGTTCAGCCGTGGCAGGCGCGCCGCGTCCAGCGCCGTCCGTCACGCGGCGCGCTGTCACCAGTTGCCGAAGCCTGACGGGCGGCGCGGGGGGGGGGGGGGGGCGGGGGCGGAGAAGGGGCAACTCTCATGACAGGGCGTCGTACAAGCGTGCACATCGCCCTGCTGAATCACTTGCGTTGAGCGTCTGCAGTTTTGAGGCCACACGCAGAGCGCGTGTTGACTTGCTCCGGCCGTCCCTGAGTGTGTCGCTGGCTGATGCCGGCGTGCCCGGGCCGGGCGCGTGCTGACCTGCTTCGTGTCCCGCGCCAGGTTCGGCGCGTCGGTGTACTGCGCTGTCGACGAGTGCCTGGCCGTGTTCCACCTGCCGTGTGCCGCCGCCTCGGGCGCCTTCCAGAACATGAACACCAAACAGGTGTACTGTGTCACCCACCTGAGTCGCATTCCGGCCGGTGAGTTGCGGACATCCTCCGCATGCCGTACAGTATCTCACTCCGTACCGACTGGGCTGGGCAGGTCGGGCTGTGAAATGAGCCGCCTGTGACTGCTGGTAACCACTCAGTACTGCCTCCGGTTGCCTCTCCGGTGTGGTGTGTGTGTGGAATGCCGGCGGTGTCGAATGGTGTTTGGTGCAGCTCGACATCGGTGATTTCGGCACGCCACTGTTGTCTAAAACTGGTTCATGGTGTCGTCACAGTTACAAGCTGCATTCAACAACGAATGCTGAGCGCGTTTTGCCGCGTCACTGTCGCATTGGCTGCCATGATCCGGGATGATTCGTGCATTGTGTGAGAGAGGCCAAGACTGGCGGCTTTGACGTCCCGCGGGCTGCGTTTCAGACGGCGAGGAGGCCTGCATCAACTGCGACGACTCGGGCGCGCTGGAGTCGATGCTGTTCTGCTCGTCTTGCGGCAACCACTTCCACGCCGACTGCACCACCCCGCCTCTGCCCCTGAGTCCGAGTCAGTGCCGCCGCCGCCGACCGCCCCCACGCCGTCTCGGGGTGGCGCGGTGTCATTGGCTCTCTGTGGAGCCTTGGTCCGCGGGTGTGTTTGTCTTGCGAGCTTGCATTCGCGCCGTCTTGGCTCAAATCGGGCCCGTTAGCCGGTGGGGTCGTGGTCCGTGCGTGGGTGTCCCGTGCATGCGTCGGTGTCGTCCGGGCCTGCCTGTCCACGCTGGTATCAGTGGTGAGTACTGAGCATTGCCAGCCGATCGGCGTAACTGGCCGGCCGCTCTCGGGCAGTCGTCCTGTCGCCGCCCTCCAGCTGTCCGCCGCGCCGGCGTCGTCGGCGCTTTGACTGACCGATGGCGGCTGTCTCGCTGCGCAGACGTGCGGGCCGGCTGGCAGTGTCCCAGCTGCAAAGTGTGTCAGCACTGCAGGCAGCCGGGCGAGGAGGGCCGCCAGCTCTGCTGCGACAGCTGCGACAAGGCCTTCCACATCTACTGCGTCCGGCCCACGCTCGGCGCTATACCAAAGAGCGGCTGGAAGTGCCGGGTACGTGGTGCCGCGGCAGCCGGCAGGGCTCCAACCGCCGCCGGGTGGCCATGGGACCTGCGCGACCCCCAGCAACTATGTGGCATGCCTCCACATTGGTCGAAGACTGTAGCTTTGATGACACATGTGGCATCGTGGTCGAACCCATTCAGGTGGCAGCAGCCCGTGAATGGTGCCACAGCCGCGATTTTCGCTCGCGCTTGACGCGCTTGGCTACCTGCTTAAGGATCATTGTCGACACGATCGTCACGTCTGTGTCCCGCGCTGACCGTGGTCGGCCGGTGTCCGGCAGTACTGCCGCGTCTGCACCGACTGCGGCTCCCGCACGCCCGGCGCCGGCATCAGCTGCCGCTGGCACAACACGTACTCGGTGTGCGACTCGTGCTACCAGCAGCGCAACAAGGGCGTCTGCTGCCCGGTGTGCGGCCGCGCCTACCGCCACTTCGCGCAGAAGACCATGCAGCAGTGCAGCGCCTGCCGACGGTGAGTGGCCGCCGGCCGGGAGGGGCCGCGGCGGAGGGGTGTCTGCCGTCGGGGCAGCGGCGCGCTCCGTCAAGTGAGAGGGAGTGGCCCGCGCCGGGGCTGTGCGCCGGGACCTGCGTCTGCGTCCGCCGCGCCCGGTGTACCGGGCGGGCCGTGTGGACGGTCACCAGTGTCTCGGGTGTGGACTAGTGTGGCGCGTGCCTTGTCGGGCGCACCCTTGGACCGGCTGACCTCGCCCCCCCCCCCCCTTGTCTTCTCCGGTCGCAGGTACGTGCATAGCACGTGCGACCCGGAGGCCGACCCGTCGGCGGTGCAGCAGCGGCGCCAGGCGGCGCCCGACTACGAGTACGTGTGCTCGGTGTGTCAGACGGGCGGCGCGCCGGCGCGCTCCGGCCGCCCGCACGACGACGGCTCGCTGGACAGCCACGGCGATGTGCCCGCCACGCCCGGGTCGGCCCAGCCCGGCGGCGAGCCCTTCCACTTCGTGAGTATCCTGCCGCGACGGAGCGCTGTCTCCGGCTCCCGTCTGACGATCGGTGTGGTGGGGGTCTAGAGCGGGAGGGCGGGCTCGTTTGCAGATGTTTGTGTTGGCCCCTTGGCCATGTTGTAGTCTCGCCTGAGTTATGGTGCATCGAGGTTGTAGTGCGATTCGTTTTCAGCACAGGCGACTTGCTGCTGGGATGCACTTCTCCACGTGACTGGCCCGAACTAAAAGGCAACTTTCGCTCCGGCCTGATAACCGAATAGCAACAGGGAGTTTCGAAGTGTCATTCAATACCGTAGCAACTCCGCCCCGGGGATGACACCATGACACGATGTCAGGCGATACAGGTCTTCCCTACTTGTCAGAGAATTGCGCCGCCTTAAATGGGATTCGAACCCACGTGGTTGTGCCGCAAAACGGCACTGCGTCCGCCTATTTGTTAGTCGAGGCCAAGATGTGCTCTGGTAATAGCACCTCCCTTGAACGGTCTTGGATACATGACACAAATGTTTGTTCAGATCTAGCTTTTCCGTCACCAACCAACATTCTGGGGAAGCGAAAAGCGTACGCGGAAACCGCCACTGTTAATCCGATTACATGCCTTGGAACGGCTGCCTCAGCTTGGATAGCTGACTTGTCCTGCCTTTCCATTATATTATGGTTGCAATGGTTTGAACAAAGTCGGAACTCATCATGCTGCCGCCGGTACCCGAGCCGTCCATGTCGTCAAACAAATATTGCTGTGACCGAGCAGGACGTAGTCGGTTTTCTTGCCGCCTTCCCAGCTGTGCCCCTCGCCATTACCGGAACCCCATTCTCCAACGTCGCTGGGGAGGAACACAGAGCACCACAGAGCTCCGAGAGACGTTACGGGCGGCGTGGGTCGCCTGGTGACCCAAATGGTACCGCAGGGTCCTGATGTTACAGGGTACGGGGCTGGTCCAGCGTGGGTCGCCGCCCGTACATTCAGGCGACGCGCCTCTCGAAGCGATCCCAAACCAAACACGCCCGGCTTCCGTTGAGGGCGTATGGGAACAGGGATGGTGAGGGACGCAATTTTGCCTGCCTTGTCAGGCACAATTGCTTCCCTTCTGCGTGCCCTGTCTAGGGGCGATGAGTGTGAGAATGCTTAATTCACTAGGTCTGTTCTCATTTTCCACGCTAGTCCCTGACACAGTTATGTGTATACACATGCCTTGTCTTCACGGACGCGCTGACGCCTTCTGGTTTCGATGCCCCACTTTTAACGAAACACCTAACGTGGAATGCTCCCCGCTAACGGTGAGCAGCGCACTCAGAGGCTGAAGGTGATCGATCCAAACTCGTGGCCTTCTGTTACTGAAACACCACACAGCAGTTCCATGACGTGTATTGTACTGAGTAGTAGCGGATGAGTGGCGCACGTGACCAGGAGCGGCTCGCCGTTGGTCACCAGTAAGGCGCGAGACACCGGCGGCGCGCGCTAGCAGGCGCGACAGCTGGGCCGGCAGTTGTACAGCATGTAGCCGGGGTTGGTGGCACACTCGCCGCGTCCGGCCCACTCGCGGCAGCGCGCGTGCCGGTCCCGGCACGTCCTGCACAGGCCACACGAGCGCTGGCAGCTGGCCGCCATGTACGCCGCGTTGGAGTAGCAGTAGCCGGAGCGCGACCACGACGGGCAGTAGTAGTGCCGGTCCTGGCAGGGACGCGCCGTGGTGGCCGCTGTCGGCGACGTCGGCCGCTCGGGCCGAGGCCGCGCGGTGGTCGGCTTCTCTCGACCGCCGCCGCCGCCGCCGCCGCCGCTGCTGCCCTCCAGCTTGCAGGCCGGGTAGGTCAGCTGGAGTCGGGCGGCGTCGGAGGCCGACAGGAAGCCGTTCTCGCGGCGGCTGACGTAGCGGTTGCCGCACGGGAACATCTCCTTGACCACGGCGTACAGCTGCGGATCGTACGCGGCCAGCTTTTCGCGCGTGTCCACGTGGTTGTGGATGCCGTTCGGGTACCGGCTGTACGCTTCCACGTTGTGGTACTTCTGCACGCCCTCGGCGAAGTACTCGATGTGGTTGGTGGCGGCGTACGTGCTGGCCCAGAGGCCGCGCGCGCGCGCGGCGCTGTAGGCGGCGCGCAGCCGACTCTCCCACGCAGGCCAGGCGTACCGCGCGCCCAGCAGGTGCAGGCCGTGCGCGAACTCGTGCAGCCCGATGTCCTCGGAGTACCAGCGGTCAGTGGGATAGCCGTAGCGCAGCAGGTTCTCCTCGCCGATGGTGCAGACGGGCGCGGCGTCGGTGGCGCCGAGGCCGCGCGAACCGCTGGTCCCAGCTGGGACCCAGGCTGCTGTGCTCGGGAATCTGCGTGGTGCGCTCGCTGCGGCCGATGACGGCCACACGGCCACGCCGCTGCCGGTAACTGTCGCGCACATTCGCGTGGTCGGCGAAGAGGAAGCGGACGATGTAGCAGGCGCGCCGCAGCGCCGCGTCCGGCACGCGCGTCGACGACAGCACGGGGATGCCGTACGCCTCGGTGTAGCGCTGGTAGAAGGTAGAGAGGCCGAGCTGGCGTCGCACCGAGCCGGGTACGCCGCGCACCCGGCCGCAGCTGTGGCTGCTGGTGGCCAGCTCCTCCAGCGGCGTGCGGATCTGCCGGCGCCGGATGACACACTGAGTGCGACTGTCGCGGAAGTTATCGAGTTTTGAGGACCCGTCAACTGTCATTGACTGTTTACTTGTGGCTAAGTTACGGATTTTTGGGTTCAGTAGGGCGCATTATTTTTGATAGATAGCATGCACCATTCGAAGAGCACTGCCACTGTACTTTTTCAACGTAAAAGGCGGCCACGATATGGCCGGACGCGCAGGTACGGTTCACTTGCCTCTTGGTGAGTATTCTGGTCGGCGTAGATGGTATAGTACTGGCCTTCGTAGTTCGTGATATTCGTGGAGATTGTGCCGTCCTCGGGGAAGGCTGTCGCGTTGGGTGGCACTCCTGCATCGAGCTGTGCGTCCGGATCAAATGGCACTCCTACGCCAGGGAGTGCTTCTGGATCCAGTGGCACTCTTACGCCAGGCATGCCCGCGCCTGAGACTGGTTCTGGATCCAGTGGCACTCCTATGCCAGGCATGCCCGCGCCAGGGAGTGCCTCCGGTTCCATCGGCACGTCCGCGCCGGGGGGCACTCCTGCAGGAGGTGGCACCCCGACGGGTTGTCCTCCTGGGGGGAGGCCGGCGTAGTTGGGCGCCTCGGTGTCGGGCGGCTGGACCACGCCCGGCGGTATGGTGAAGCCGGGCAGCAGCTCCACATCGCGCGGTATCTGGATGACGGCCGCAGCTCCGGTCAACAGCAGCAGTGCCCCCGCTGCCGCCGCCGCCTCTCGACTGGGTGCCATGCTGCGTACAGGGGCGGCTCGCCGGAGGGGCCCGACTCTGCCGGCGGCGGCGACGCACGCCGCTTTATAGCCGCGCGCCGTCCGCCGCCGGCGGCGCGGTTGTGACGTGACGCGCGCGCCGCGACCGCCGCATCCGCCGCCGCGCAAACGCGCTCTGAGTCAGGCGGCCGGCCGCGCTCTGGGCGGCCAGCCCGGGGGTCGGCCGATGTGGCCGGCGGCGGCGGCGCGGGTGAGACGGTGTGACGGTGGGGCCAGCGCCGCTCCGCCCCGCTTGGCCGGCGGTGCCCGTCACGTGCGGCAGCGGGTTAGGCCAGGTCGTGAGATTACCGTCGTCGCCCGACCGTGACCGACGGAAAGTAGTCGGCTGGGACCGCGTGTTTTCCGCCCAATGTGGGCTGAGTCAGAGGAAGGGGCGGGTGAGGAGGATCCGACCGCAGAGTCGGGGAACGATCTCGGAAGCTCGGTGAAAACAGGCGCGGCTGGGGCCTCGGCAGATAAAATAGACGACGCCAAGCCTGATGTTGCTCGTTCGAAGAAGGTAACGTGGCCCGTTCAAGGTTTTCCATATGCTGCGCCCATATTGTCACTAATTGGGACCATCGCTCACGCCATCGCCTGTGACAGGAGCAGGACGTTGATGAACTTCAGCCTATGAAATGTTGATGTCCGTGGAGGCCTATTACACGACGTTATTAGACGTCGTGTAATTCGGCAGAGGACATCAAAGCCCATCATTCCACGACGTTATTCTGCGCGCAGTTAATGTGATATTGTCTGCGTGTGTAACTGAGCAACTCACTTAATGGATCGCGGGCCGTGTCACTGTTCGCTTGTGTCGCGCCGCGGTGAAATATACCTCGGCGCTATGTGTCGCGGTGGATTAAGCTAGCCATCTCGTTATGCTAACTCTGCGTAGGTCGTGAGGACTGACCTGAGGACGTTCATTTAAGCTTTCGTGGTTTCAAATCAGCTAAGGCTTCGTGCAAGGCAAAGGCATTCAGCTCAAGGTGTCCCCTCTGGCGTTTATACAGTGACACTTCGGTAAACAGTATGGTTCTTGTCATCTCTTGTCTGGTCACCCTCATAATATGCAAGTCCACCATCAAGTTTCAGAACTAGCATGATGCACACGGATTGGATCACTGTGTGAATGCCTTTATTTTCCACCCTGTCCCTTTTTGCGTTAATCATGTTTTGCGAGAAGCGCTTTGCTGACGTTCATTTGCGTGGACTTTGTCGTCTTTGAGTCAATGTGAAAACGTCTGCGACCGAAAGGCGAGCAGGAACGCCTAGAAAACCGTTGCCGCACCACGGTCGTTACGCTACTGTCACGGGTGCCGAACCGATCAGCCGATCCGGGCAGGGCCATGGCGCGGCCGCCGGTTTGTTGTGGGTTGTCTTGTGCTGACGTCACATCAGATGACGTCACCCACCTGTGTGTGGTCGGCGGGCGAGAGCGGACGGTGCGCCGGTGGCGCCGGCGGCCGCGGGCACTGGCCCGGTCTCGTGCGGCCAGCGCGCTGCTCTGTGGGACAGCTCGCCGGCAGGAGGGCCAAATGTCATATGCCGGCCGGCCGGACCGCGGGTGGGCACCGCCGCACCTCATTCGCCGCACCTCACTCGCCGCACCTCACTCGCCGCACGTCACTCGCCGCACCTCACTCCCCGCACGTCACTCCCCGCATGGCACGGGTGACGTGGCGGGCGCTGCTGCGAGCCACAGACGCGCGGTCGTGACCTGCACTGTGGTGGTTTGGCCGCACACGCCTCATTGTGAGCTGTGGTTGGCCATGTGGTACACCCGCGGCGTGCTGATGCTGTGCCGCCGCTGACGCATACCTGAAGTAAAGGCCGAGCCATTTGTCTAGACGGTAGCGGCTCCAAACCAACCGCCTGTGCCTGAGAGGTCGATAAGGCCTTGATGAGCGCAACCCCATGGCATTTCATAAATACAGCACCGTTCGATTCATGATTGGAGTGCCCTTTGCGGCTGTTTACGAGACTGATCGGGGCGTTATTCGTCGTGGCAGTGATGTGCGCGGGTCGCTCGGGCGCGGAAGGTCGGTTGTTGGTGGGTCAGCCTTCGTCCCGCGCCGGTCGCGCCGACGTCGGCCCATCCTCCGCTCCGTCCGGCTGTGCGCGATCAGAGCCTCTCATCGTGAGCAGACGGCGTCGGAGCACGAGCCCTCGGTCGGAGTCGGAGCCCGCGCGAGCGCCGCGGCCGGGCTCGGGCGGCGTCAGCGCCCGCCGCTCTCCGGTTCAGTCCGAACGCGCCACGAGTGCTGGGTGCGGTGCCGGCCGTGGCCCTTCTTACGGCCGGCCAGGAAAGCCGGCGTCAGTGGGCCGGCTGGCTGGTCGGCGGCGGCGCACATCTGGGCGGCCCGGCGCCGACCGTGACCCGTGCCGCGCGGGGTCGACAGGCGGCCGCGGCCGACGCGTGCGTGATCTGAGGACACCGCCGGCTGGAGGAGCCCTGCGCTCAGTGTTTGTTGTGAGGCGGCTGGCGCGCGGGATTTCCGAGGGCCCCGTCCCGCTGTGTTGCCGTTGTCTGGCGGGGATAGGCGGCGGTCACGACACAAGCGGGTGCTGAGGTCATGCTTTTCTCGGGCTGTGTGTGACCTGTCCCCTGTTCTCAGGCAGGGGGCGGCAGACCACCTGTCTGGGTGGATAATTAGGGGCTATGTGACGTGTGATACCAGCAGTTGGACGGCGGACCATCTGCCGAGGCCGGCCATGATGACGTGTCTGACCGACCGTCCCTCCCCACAGGGGGATGACGGGGCGCCGCGGGCCAAGGGCGGAGGCAAACCGATGCATCTCGTCAAGAAAAAGCTAGGTATCAAGAGCGGCAGCGGCGGTAGGCTGGGTGTGAAGCCGGCCAAGCCGGCCAAAATCGACGTGCTGAAGAAGAAGCGGCTGCCCGACCTCAACAGGAAGCGGCCGTACAAGGCCAAGGTTCGCGGCATGTTCGGCGCGCCGGCCGTGTCACTCCAGGTCAGTGGAGGGTGACAAGAGATGTTACTCGACATCATTGGTGGAGGTGGAGAAGCTGCTGCTCCAGTGGCGGCGCGTCCCGCTCTCCGCATGCGGTCGAAATTATTACACGTGCCCTTATTCAGCGACCGGGTGCATGGTTGCATAGTAGCCACACGTGATTAAAGATACGCAATGTACGCATCAGTGACTGCTGCTGCATGCATCAGCCTCACCTCTGGTCGTGATGCCTGTGTCCCCCCCCCCCTCGCCTGCCCGTCTAACGACGGGGGTCCTACGCAGCGTCCGGAGAACCCGATGGGCCACGCAGCCGGCGGCGGCTCCTACTACAAGACCAACCCGAACGAGGACAACCAGATGGTGCTGTGCTCGTCCAAGGACGAGTTCGTGCTGCAGCAGGACGTGTGCGTCATGTGCGGCTCGTTCGGTCAGGACATGGAGGGACGGGTCATCGCCTGCTCGCAGTGCGGCCAGGCCTACCACCCGTACTGCATCAACGTCAAGGTGAGGCCGCCGTCCCGGGCACCCTCAGCTGGGCCAAAGGAGGGCGGCACGTCCGGCGCGGAGAACGGCGCGGCTCAGATGTGCGCGTCTGCCGTTTTGTTTTGCGACCCGTCTGTGCCCGTCTCCCGGGTCGTATTTCGGTCACGTCCGGCCGGTGATGGCTCGCGGCTCCCACTCCCGCCGGTAGACGGCGCCGGTGGTGGCCTCTGAGGCCCCGAATCGGGTCAGGACGTCTGGCCGGCCGGTGATGGCTCGCGCCTCCGACGCCCGCCGATGGACGGCGCCGGTGGTGGCCTCTGAGGCCCCGAATCAGGTCAGGACGTCTGGCCGGCCGGTGATGGCTCGCGGCTCCGACGCCCGCCGGTAGACGGCGCCGGTGGTGGCCTCTGAGGCCCCGAATCGGGTCAGGACGTCGGGCCTTAGAGCGAAGGCCCTGGCCCGGGTCAGGACGGATGGCCCTGGAGCGGGGACCGCGGCTTCGGGCGGGACAGCCACCAGTGACTCAGCCGGCGTCCAGTGTGGAGGAGGGACCCGAACTGGGCCGCGCCGCCTCAGATGTGGGCGGGCTCAGATAGGACGGCTCACCGCCGACAGCGGATGTGGCCGCTGCTGGTGTAGGTCGCGGACGCCGCTTTTTGTGGCGCGTGCGTGCGTGATGCCGCTGGCTTATCTGCTGCCGCCACAGCCGGGCGCTGGTGGGCCGCTCGGTCGAGCGCCGACTCGGAGCTCGTTCAGACATGGACGGCGGTGCGGTGTCGGGACCAGTCAGCACCGCTGACGCACGCCCACCGTCCTCGGATGCGAGGCCGCGAGTCCTGCGACTCGTCTGGAACGAGATCACATGCTACCAGTTTTGTCAGTCATGAGCTTACCGTCGTCTTCGATGCAAATTCGGCCGGGGTGTCGGGGTGGTCGGCTTCACGTTGTCATTGTTTGTATGCCTGGTTTACATTCCCAGTGGCGTGGTAGCCCTCGCGTTGGCCGTTGCGCCGCAGTGTCCGGTGCTGAGTCCGCGCCGGGTCTGCGCTTCCGGTCGGCGCAGGTGAGCTGCGCTGGCGTTCTGCTCGGTGGCGAGGTGCCCGCTGGAGTGCGGCAGACCAAACGCTCGCGCGATGTTGACGGAAGGTGCCGCGGACAGACCGCAAAGATGGGCCGCTGAGGGGCGCCACGGACAGATCGCAGGGATGGGCCGCCGCGAGTGCCACGGACAGACCGCAAGGGTGAGCCGCTGAGGGCGCCACGGACAGAACGCAGGGATGGGCCGCCGCGGGCGCCACGGACAGACCGCAGGGGTGGGCCACTGAGGGGCGCCACGGACAGAACGCGGGGATGGGCCGCCGCGGGCGCCACGGACAGACCGCACGGGTGTGCTGCTGCGGGGTGCGGCATGCAGTCAGCGGCTGCTGCTCTGACGCCTTTTGCGGCGACTGCCACTAGGCTTTTCACCCAGAGAATCGTGCTGCAGCCATAGCGCGACAGTGCGAGGAGCAGCAATACTCCTATTTAAATCGGGTCGTGACAGCTGAGGTAATACCCAGTCCAGGCTGGCATACGCGCTATCAACGCTGATGGGAAGTATGAATCTGCCAACCCACCCATTTGCCGTGTCATTTTTTAGTTTTTACCCACCCTCGTTTTACTCCCGGATGACGTTATTTCAGCGTAGCATGTGACAGGCCAGACTCCACAAGCTGCGATTTGTCATGCTGTCTTACCAGTTCGCTGTTCTGACTAACTGGTGAGCTGGCGAGCCGTCACCACGTGCCGGTGCGGGGGCGGCGCGTGCCGGGACGTCAGCGCGGTGGCCTCTCACGCGCAGCCGCCGTCCGTCCCGCAGGTGTCGAAGGTGCTGCTGGAGCGCGGCTTCCGCTGCCTCGACTGCACCGTCTGCGAGGGCTGCGGCCAGAAGAACGACGAGAGCCGGCTGATCCTGTGCGACGAGTGCGACATCTCCTACCACACCTACTGCTTGAAGCCGCCGCTCGACTACGTGCCGCAGGGCGGCTGGAAGTGCCAGTGGTGAGGGAGTCCGCCTGACGGGGCTCAGCTCGGGGGAACGACCACCGCCAGCTTAGACGCGCAAAACTGCGTAGAACCGGCTGCTGATTTGTGGGAAAACATTGGGTCGAGGCGCTGGAATTGGTATGAACCGTGCAGCGTCGAACGTATCGGATGTGCCGTGGACAGTAACTCTAAATTGATTCCGATTCCGATACAGGTGTCGCCCCTTCCTTCCATCGGATGCTGTGGTCAGCCCCAGTGTAGCCCTGTCGTGTGTGCGCCCGTCATCTGTCGCTGGCTGAGGGGGTGTGGGCATGCATCGCCAGGTGCGCCGTGTGCGTGCACTGCGGCTCCAACAGCCCGGGCGTCGGCTGCTCCTGGCTGGACAACTACAGCATGTGCGGACCGTGCGGCTCGCTGACCCGCTGCGCCACCTGCGAGGGCCCCTACACCGAGGGACAGCTTATCATCCAGTGCTCCGTTTGCCAGAGGTGCGCGGCCCGGCCTGTCCCCCACCCACCGGCGCCAGTCACGGCGCCGCTTCGGCAGACGTCCAGTCGTGGCCGTCTCTTGCTGGTGTTGCACAGAGAAACGGGCAGTGATGGTTCGCTGTTTTGCTGGGTTTAAGCCATGTGTGTTACAAGTTTTCCGATACCCAGCACCGTGTCGTGAGCGGGCTTTGCTGTGCGCTGGTCTGTTGCGAGCGTACACAAAGATAAGCGAGTGTCAAATTATAGTCTTAGTCCTACTTCTGATGCTACTACACGTGCTTCCAAATGCAGGCCCTGGTCTCCTGCACTGTGAGTGCTTGACAACACTGGGTAGGCGCACGGCGAACAGAAGCGTGTCAGTTCTGTTGTGCAGAGGTGCTGGGCGTGTGTGCTGCCCGTCACAAGCACTGTCACACCCCGACCCCGCGTTGACCCACCGTCCGCCGCCGGCGCCAGGTGGGGCCACGCGGCCGACGACTTCATCCACAGCGAGGAGGACGCCGAGGTGTGCGCCACCATGGGGTACATGTGCGCGCGCTGCCGGCCGGCCGACGAGCCGCCGCCGCACATGCAGCCGTCGGTCGACGCCAGCATCGTGGAGCCCGACAGTCCAGGTGGGACGCGGCGGCCGGGCCGGGCGCGCGGCGCCGGCGGCTGCGACGGCGGCGGCGCTGCTGGCCAGCTGACGGGCGCCGGGGCGCGGTCCGGATGGACGACTGTTGGCGCGGGTAGTCGGGTGCGTCGTGTTCGGGTCACGAGCTCGGTCCGGCCGGCCGGCTCGGCGGGCCGTCCGCCGGCGCCGGTCGGCGCTCTGTCGGGTTGGTGCACTGCGTCTCCGAGCTCCTGCGGTCGTGACGGGGTGGGGCGCAGTGCGCTGCGTGCTGGTGAGTCCGTTTCCGTGGTCTGGTCCTAGGCGTTGGGCCGGTGGAGGGGGGGGGGGGGGGGGGGGGAAAGTGGAGGTGTCTCGCTTGCGTGTCGACACAGGGGGCGCTGTGAGCGACGGGAGGCCTCCCGAGGGTGGCGTCGCTCCACGCGGCTGACGGCGAGGTGCACCAGCCGGCAGTAGTGTGACCCCGGCGACGTTTCAGAGCCTGAACAGTGGCGGCCGTCCAAACACTTCTTCGTGCTGGAGGGCGTGTGTGTCTCGGACACGGGCTGCAAGGTCATCCAGGGGCTCACCATTGAGCCTGCCAAGAAGAAGAAGAAGCGCGTCGACTGTAAGAGCGACGGCGGAATATCGGCCGCCATTGATAGCGTGCTGGGCAGTGAGTGCATCACCCTTGTCGTTCCAAGTCACCGCCGGACCTTGTCTAGCACCGTTTGGTGTGTCTGTTTGGTTTTTGCATTGGGTGAGCTTGGAGGCACAGCTGAAATCCGCTCTGATGCCTGTGATCAGCAATGGTAGGGATATTGTCGCGATGGTTTCTATTCGTTGTAGGATGGATGTGGACGGAGGGACATGCTGGCGCACACACTTTGCCCCCACCACAGCACGAACTGCACCCGGACGCGTGGTGAGCGGTGGCGGTGCGACGGCGGGCGATATCGCGCGCCAGGCGCCATTGCACCGACCTGACCGACGTGCCCGGCACGCTGCCACAGATACGTCGATCGAGGAGTCTGAGGAGGCCGACGGGCCGGCCGAGTCGGCGGCGCCGTCCTGCTTCAAGGACGGCATGGTGCTGCCGGCGCGCGAGGACGGCGCGCCGCCGGAGCCGCCCGACGGCTTCAGCATCTCCCGGCTCGAGTCGGGCGACTACGTCATCCGCAAGAAGCGCACGCGCAACATGCAGAAAATCGGCGTCGGCGGGTTCTACGTGAAGGCGCGCGGGCCCAAGATCCTGAACATGAAGGACGAGGAGGAGCGCCAGGAGGCGGCGCAGGCGGCGGCGGCGGCGGCGCTGGCGGCTGCCACGGCGACGGCCGAGGGCGGCGCGGCGCCGCTGACGCCGGGCGCGCCTGTGACGCCCACGGACGACAGCCACACACCGGTCTCGGCCGGCGACACATCCTCCACACACTTCGCCGTGCCCGGCGACAAGCCCAAGAAGAAGGCCGTGCGCAGGAACAAGAAGTACAAGCTGATCGAGGCGTACCCACTCTATTTGCAGGTGAGGCTGCTGGGTGGCGGCTGGGCTGGGGGCGGATCGAGCTTCTGCTGGGCGGTGGCTGGGCTGGGGGTTGTGGAGCGAGCTGCGGCTCGGACTTCGTTACCGTTGCGTAGGCGTAACAGCAAACCTCTTGTGAGCAGTGGGAATATGTTGTGTGCGGCCTTGCCGGGCATGGAGACTATCATGTTGCCTTATGTGTTGTAGGAGTCATTTTTCGGGAAAGAGCTGATGGACGGCTCAAAGGACGCCAAGGCGCCGGAGGGAGAGGAAGACAAAGAGGAGCCGAACCCGCCCGAAGAGGATGAAGACGACATTGCGCCTCCGGAGGAACTCTGCACGGTCCAGCTGTCCAAGGTATTTGGGGGAAAATGACGGCATGACCATCGCAACTACGACTCTTCCGCTCAACGTTGCATTGTTAGTTTGTGCCGACTCCCATGACAAATGCTAGTGATAACAAACAGAAGTGAGTGCCAGTAAGCACAACTGACCGTTGCGTGACTGTTTCTGTGTCGGTGCTCGCGCGGGTCTCGCTCTGCCGACCGTCTCACGCCGCGCGGCGCGCCGCTGCAGGCGGAGAAGGAGCTTGTGCGGGAGGCCCAGGAACGCGTGGAGACGGAGGAGCGCCGCTGCCAGCAGGAGCGCGACGCGGCCACCAAGGAACTGGCGTCCGGCTCGGGCGCCGGCGCCGACGCCAAGTCAGACAAGATGAACGAGGTAAGCCGCGACCGCAGGCGGTCATGGGTGGCGGACTTCCGGCGCCGTGTTGCCTCACTCTGTGCTGCTGACAGCGGCCCGGCCTGGGCTCCAGTGCTGAGCCGCATGTCTGAGTGGGACCATGTGCTGTTGTGCGTGTTGAGTGGGACCAGTGGGACCAGTGGAGTGCTGTTGCTCGTGTCCACCAGCTGTAGGTTTGCGATTTGGACAGCTGACGGTCGGCCGTGCGGTTGGGGAAGAAGGACCAGGCCGGACCTGTGCGGTAGTCGGGGGAGGGTCATCAGTCCCACCCCGTCTCACCATAAGTCAGCGTCCTCTTTAATCCCGTGGTGAAGCTCCGATCCGTTGGAACTTTTCGCTGATTGGGCCAGGCTCCTGCGATCCAGGCATCTGTCAGCTGTCGGAGGCACGAGGTGTTCGTATTTGGGCGTCAGCTGTGCCAGGTTTGCCTTCGAACCGCCTGTTAGTTCGACGAACAGCATTAGAAAGCCTCGGCCATGTCCGCCGTCGCTTCACGCCGCTGTGTACTGTGCCGGGTCCGGTTTGTTTGGCCATTGCAGCCGTCATCTGTCGCATACAGTTCAGGGCGTTACCCACACCCGACCCGTGTACAGTCCACTGGAGAGTCCGCTCTAAATACAAGCATCTTGTGGTTTTGTCCATGACCACAACACAAGGTCTTACGTTGAAGGTGTGCAGCCATTTGACATTGGACCTGAAGCTCCTCCCGTTGGCCGTGCGCCTGCGGGGTGAGGTACATACCCTGGGCTCAGGACTGTACCGCTCCCGGCGGTGGGTGGAGCTCAGCTCTGACCCCTGGCAGCCACCGTCCGGGTCAGGATATGGGCCGTGCGCCTGTGGGGTGAGGTACATACCCTGGGCTCAGAACTGTACCGGTCCCGGCGGTGGGTGGAGCTCAGCTCTGACCCCTGGCAGCCATCTAGGTCAGGTCGAGTGCCTTGCGGTACGGTGTAAGGAGCACCCCATGATTTGCTGTCCTATTTCGGCTGGATTTTGAAATATATTGGCGGTGGGGTCTGTTGTAGGTAGTTTATAAGCCGTTCAACTGAACCAAAACATCAAAGATTTAAAAAAAAAAATTATCGAACTGTGACGTCGGCACTAGTGAAGTAGAGCTCAAGTCACAGCTGGGCACTGCGGAGCTATGTTTTCGTTCGTCTGCTCAGCCGTGGTCCTTCTTTCCAGACGGACGACGACGCCGACGACGCGCTGGGCGACATATTCCCGGGCCTGGGCGCCGACCTGGAGGGCGACCTGGTCGACACCATCCTCAACGACGACGGCGACGAGCTGGCCAAGCACGCCGACCTGGAGGACATCCCCGACTCGGAGCTGGCGGCGGCCGACGCCGACATGTCGGGCGACGAGGCCGAGGCGGCCAGCAAGGACGAGCTGTCGGAGCTGCTGGCCGGCCACTGGCCCGACAGCTTCGAGTCGATGGTCACCGGCCTGCCCAACATGGACGGCCAGGACGTGGAGGACCTGCTGAAGGACACGCTGGACGTGCCGGCGCCGCCGCAGGCGCAGCAGCCGGCGCAGCAGCCGGCGCCGGCGCCGCCGCAGCCGGGCGCCGCGGCCCGGTTCCGCGTGGCGCCGCACCAGCCGGCCGGCCAGCCGCAGCTGCTGCCGGGGCCTGTGCAGGCGCCGCTGCCACACATGTCGCAGTTCAGCCACGAGCACGCGTGAGTACGGCGGCGGCGGCGGCTGACCTGATGCGTCAGGCCAGGCTGCCGGAACCTGGGTGGTGATGACGGCCCGATGTGATCGGCTGCCGGAGCTATTTGTCTCTTGGGGGGGGGGGGGGGGGGGGGGGGCTGGTCTGCTTGCAGATGTCCCGGCGTGCAACACAGACTGATGTATATGGAACGCATATCCGAGTCTCTGTTGGATATAGATGCATGTGCATTGGTTGTTGGACCTGTGTGACCAACCCGGCGGGCACCCGTAGGCCTAAAAGCTATCCTTTTGCCAACATGTGACATGTTTGCGCGCCCTGGCCGTCACGCGGACTACCGTGAGCCAAGGCGCGACACAGGGAAGTGACTGCCTGATCGGTCTGTTGGTCTAATGTCGCCGCTGATCTGATTCGTGTGGGGTATGTCTGAACAGTGCAGACGTCTGACAAAGTCCCATCTGCGATCAGACAGGCGTCGGGCCGCCCCGCGCCACAGTTCTGTGCGAGCTTGTGTGTCGCGGTCAGCCGGTGGCGGCTCCAGCCTGCGCTGTCGCCACACCAGGTCGGCGGGCCGCCAGGTGCTCGTGGTCGTCGTCAGCGCGCGGTGCCGGCCGTTTCAGGGCGCCGTTCGGGGAGTTCGGCGAGCCGTCGAGCGGCGGCGAGGTGGGCTGGGGGCCGGGCGGCGCGGCCGGCGGCGTGCGGCCCGTCCAGGCGCCGCCCGGCAGCACAGGCGAGTCGCAGACCTACAACCAGCGCAACATGGCCAAGTGGGAACACGACGAGAGTCTGGGCGAGGCGGCCACCATCTCGCCTGTGCTCTACGCCAACCACAAACACCCGGAGCTGCGTGCCGAATTTCCAGGTACGGCTCGGCCACTGGCTGTCGGCCCCATGGCTCGGCTTCGCTCACGGGCATTACCACTGCACCTGTTGTGTTGGACTATGTGGAGTAAGATGCGCACGCTCTTTCGTTGACACGTCGTCGGAGATGCCCATCAATGCATCGAATGTACGTCACCCTGTTTATCTGATCTGAGACGGGCCAGGTTTAGCCGACCCCTGGCGAGTGACCTCGTCTGATTTTTTCACCCGCTCGCTCCTGCCTGGCAGCGGTCGCCGACCGAGTGCGGCAGATCATGAAGATTTGGCGCGCCCTCTCGCCGGAGAGCAAGCAGCCATACCTGCAGAAGGCGAAGGAGAACCGCTCGGCGAGCAAGGTCAGTTGTCGCCGCTGCGCCAGGCCGCGCCGCGCTGCGCGATGCCGTGTCATGCCGTGCCGTGTCGTGTCGTGCCCGTGTTGTGCGCCGACCTGCCCCGGGACGCTGGGTTCGCGCGCGCGGCCCCCGGGCCCGCCTGAGTCGGCCGCTGCCGATGACAGAGTGCCGTGCTGTGACTGACGCGTGTCGGCCGCCCGGGCCGAGCATGTCGCCAAGGGACGGCGCCCCGGACCGGAGTCGGGCCGGGGGCCGCAGACTGAAGTCTGGGGGAGGGGAAGGGGGCTCCCTGCCGGAGTCGGGCCGATCGCCACCGACTGGAGCTGGAGGGAGGGCCTCCCTGCTGGGCCCGCGCGACAGCGCACCGCGTGCTGGACTGTGGTGAGTTCGGGTGGTCTGTCAGCCCGGCGATGGCTTCGCACCGAGGTGCGTACAGCTACACCGTACCGAGGTGCGTACAGTCCCCACTCAGTACAGCCGTACCGCCGCAGTGCGGTCCGGTGATGACGTGACGAGCCTCTTCGGTCGCGGTGAGTGCGAACCTGTCGACCTGGCGCGCCGACCTGACGGCGAGAGCGTCGTCGTGCCAAGGTCCAGGTCGGTCCGTCAGGTTGGCATGACGCTGTGGCGGCGTACCGTCTGCCAGAAGAGCTGGCACCAATAACCTCTCGTTCCGCAGTCCAAACAGAGCGGGATGCTGCGAGCGGGCGCGGGCGCGGCGCCGCCCGGCTCGCCGCCGCCCCTCAGCCGGGCGGCGCCCGCCTCTCCCCAAGCGGGCGGCAGCAGCAGCGGCGCCGCCCCGGTCGCGCCGACGGCCGACAGCGCAGCCCAGGTAGATGCTCGGCCGTCGCCGCCGCCGCCGCCTCGCCCGCCGCCGTCACCGCCGCCGCCGCCCGCCTTGCGCCGCCGCCGCGGCGCCGGCCGCCGCACTAACCCCGGCTGAGGCGGCGTCGCCTGGTGACGGGCCGCTCGGACAGGATGGGGGCTCGGAGCGGGCCGCGCCGCGCGCTGGTCCGGTGCTTGGCTGGCTGGCTGTGCTGTGCCGGGCGCGGCCCCCGCGCTTGGGCGCCCCGCACGCGGTGTGCGGGTGTTTGCGCGCCGCCAAGCGCGGCCGCCGGCATGGACACTGGATGGCGGCTGGCTCTCACTCTCGCTGGCTCTCCGTTTCAGGGGCACCCGGCCTTTTAACACTGGATTGATCCGTTTATTCCGCTCCGTTCGGGTTTGGCATGTGTGCGGAGCACTCGCTCCGAAATCAATCTAAAAGTACTAGAGCAGGATATCGCTGTGTGTGCTCTGTCCGTATGTCGTAGTCGGTTGATATTTTTACTGATATTGCTGTTCTGTTGGTGTTAGCTACACTGAGACGTTGGGCTTACATTTTGCATAGTGTTGTGGCGAATGATTGTGCCCTGGAAGTTATTCACGTTTGCTGTGAGCTGACCGTGGCAATTCAGCACCGACTCCTCGCTGTCGTGTATTGGCTAACGTGTTTTTTTATCCTCTGTGTGACCCCAGCGTGCGGAGCATTGTGTCATGCCTGGCGAATTGGGGGGGGGGGGGAGAGGAAGGGGGGACAGTGTATGTGGGGCTGCGACCGGGGCGCCGCGCCGGCGGTCCGGAGGGTGCCGCTGTGGCGGCCAGCGGTGTGACAGGCCGGCCGGACTATCCGCAGGAGGCCGTCCAGCCGCGGCCCACCACGCTGCAGACCAACGAGCAGCAGTGGCGGCAGATGCAGGCCCTGCGCCGCAGCAGCAGCAGCAAACAGCAGCAGCAACAACAACATCAGCAGCAACAGCAGCAACAGCAGCACCATCAGCATCAACAGCAGCAGCAGCAACAGCAGCAGCAGATGATGCAGGAGCAGCGCCAACAGGCCCAAGGTTAGAAGATCAGTGGATGGCTAGGCGCGCAATACGTCTGATGCTGCGAAGCCCCGGCGCAGCGGGTGGCCGACAGTCCGACAGCCTGTGGTCGGCGGCCTTGTCGGATCCGATGAAGAAGAACACACTCGGAATATGTATCGCTCCACATCACCGCACGCTGACTTTCGAATGCATCAGAAAACATCGCTCCAGAAGGCCACTGTTTACAATGGCTGCACGTTATGTATGCTGTCTTTTGCCGGCGCCTCTCCGACTTGGTCGTCCGTTGTGCGCTGTTGCGCGAGCCTGCCGGCCGCGTGCCGTGCTGAGCTGGTGCCTGTGTCGGCAGCAATCGCGCGCGTGCAGCGCCAGCTGGAGGAGGACCTGCCCACCTCGCTGCAGAGCCGCGTGCCGCCCCAGCTGCACGTGACCACCTCCCAGGTGAGGCGGACAGGCGGCTGTCGAGCCCGGCTCGCTCAGCCCGGCACCACTTCGGCCAGCAGTGCCAGCTGTGGGTGTCGGAGGGTGCAGCTGAGGCGCTTGCGGCGTTGTGTGATGTCGCTCTACGTTGTCTGAATTACGACGTCCAGTCAGCGCGGGGGGCGTGCGCCGCGCCAGACATATCACGCCGGTCACTTTGTGGCCAGGCAAGAGAGCAAGCGACGCAGTTTCTGTGCTGTCGGCGGCCGACGAGCGCGCGGCGGAGGCGGGGGGCGTGAGTGTGCGCGTTGTTTCAGGAGGCGCTCTCCCACCCGCACATGTCCCCCCGCGCCCATCCCTCCCCCAGCGGTCCCGTTCCGTTCCCGGCGCCGGTGGCCGGCCCTTTCGCGGCCGGCCGGCCGGCGCCCGCCGATCCCTACTGTCACATGCCGGGCACGCCGCGGCCCGGGCTGCCGCCGGACGCCGCCGCCGCCGCCGCTGCTGCCGCCGCCGCTGCCGCCGCTGGCCACCCGCCGCCGCCTCCGCCGCCGGAGATGGTCCGCCAGCAGCAGCTGCGCGAGCTGCTACAGCGCCAGCAACAGCAGCAGCAACAGCAGCAGCACCAGCAAGGTGAGGCGCCGGGTGACCGCGTCCCGCCTTGCTGCTCACCAGGTTGTATGTGCTGATTGCCGCTGAGCCGCGCTGCGAAGTCGGCTGCAGGTGTCATTGGTAGCGGCCTGCGAGAGATCGGTTGATTGCACTGTGAGTCTGGGCGGCGTCTGCGGGCCGTTTGTAATGCGCAGAAGGAGACAGCCGCGACACTGGCCGCCTGCCGAGGTGTGAGCCGAGGGCGGGGGCCGCGACCCGCACGTGTATGCCGGACTGGAGGGCTCGCCTCTGACCGGGGCGGGCTGTCGCCGCGCAGGGCCGCCGCGGCCGCCACCGCTGCCGCACCACCAGCAGCAGTTCCGGCAGCCGCTGCCGCCGCAGCTGCGGCAGCGCATGATGCAGGCGGGCGGCCCGCGCGTCATGGACCCCCCGCCTGCAGATGATCCTGCAGCAGCGGCTGCAGCAGCAGCACCCGCAGCACGAGCAGCAGCAGCAGTACCAGGCCGTGCAGCGATCAGGTGAGGCGGCAGCTCGTCACGGAGCCGACGGCCGACCGGACGCGACGCTGTCTCGTCCACCGGGGGCGCCGCTGTTTCGGTGTGCTCGTCATGGGTGGGTCTGAAGAACGAATGGGTTGTGGTTTCGTCCATTCGTTCTTCTTTGTGACTGCTGAAACCGGAGCGAGTGAAAGGGAAGCTAGCGATGTTGATCCGATGTGACTATAGCAGCGCTCCGGGCCACGCAGTGACCGGGCGGTACAGTGACAGGCCTCAGTCTCCCGGGGCCGCCCAGTGACAGTCCCCAGCAGTTGCCGGCACCGTCAGTGACAGTCTCCAGCAGTGCCGGGATCGTCCAGTGACAGTCCCCAGTAGTGCCGGCACCGTCCAGTGACAGTCTCCAGCAGTGCCGGGATCGTCCAGTGACAGTCCCGAGCAGTGCCGGCACCGTCCGGTGACAGCCCCCAGCAGTGCCGGCACCGTCCAGTGACAGTCCCCAGCAGTGCCGGCACCGTCCAGTGACGGTTCCCAGCAGTGCCGGGATCGTCCAGTGACGGGGTTGACGGCCGGCCTTTGCAGCCGTGCCCCACATGATGATCCCGCAGCGGAGACCGGAGCTGATGAGCGGCGGCATGTGGGCGCCGGCCGCCGCCGCCACCACCACCGCCGCCACCGCCACCGCCACCGCCACCCCCGCCGCCGCCACCGGCGCCGCCCCCCTCACCCCGACACGTTCCACGTGTCCGCCCTCAAACCCCCGGGAAGGTAGGCGGTGGCCCTCGCGGTCGTCCGTCCGTCCGTCGGTGTTCTGCACGTAGTGTTGGCCGCATGCCTGGCTCTGTTCCCCACTGCCATATTAGCAGACCTTGTTTGCCTTTTTACATGTTTTGTTGCATCTAAGTTTTTGTTTATACTTCCTGTTTCGCCATGGCTCTGAAGCCTTTTTTCCTGCTTGTTGCATTTATTTCCATTTCCTTTCACCGCGGTCCGTCCGCTTACACGTGCAGCGCTTTCACAAGGCCTTTTCGCTATGAGGCACGCATTCCATAGGCAGCGCTACTTATGGCGTGAGCTGACTGCCGAGGCAGCGTGGTTTGACACACTGCAAGGGTTTTTGAGCCGTCGTTGTTGGCTTGGCAGTGTGCTCTGGCTTCAGGGCTCTCAAGCCCCGGGGCTCCCCGCTTTGCCGGCCCAACAGCTGCCTCGGCTGCCTGGTGGCGCGGTCAGGCAGCCAGTCGATAGTTGGTCTGTCTACTACACTACCTGGTCGGAGTAGTTGGAAGACTGTGAGATTGGGGCTGACGCTAGAGAGATTGGGGCCGTCGCTAGGAGAGTGGGGCTGGCGCTAGAGGAGTTGGGGCTGACGCTAGAGAGATTAGTTTTGGCGCTAGGCATTTGGGCTGGCGCTAGAGGGATTGGGTCCGTCGCTAGAGGCTGGGGCCGTCGCTAGAGGCTGCGGCCGTTGCTACCGGTTGGGGCCGTCGCTAGAGACGGGGGCTTGAAGGTTTAGATAGGGCTCACATAGGGCGTAGTTTTGTGGAGCAATGCCCAATGGTACCGAACTCAATACGCCAGGAAGGAGGCTCAAGGAATCCGTCTTTGATGCATCTTCAATTGAACAGAAATTGTTCGGTTTCTCATGTCATTTTATATATTATTATCTTTGCTTTCCGTGTGATGCAATGTGCGCCTGTAAGGGTTCCTGCGTGCGTTCGTGTCGGCTGCCGCCGCCGCTGCGGCCTGACCCCAGACGCGCCAGCTGGTTGGCCTCGTTTGTGTGACGCGACACCGCTCTGCCGTGGCCGTCGTCCAGCTCTGGCGCTGAAAACTCAATGATGCCTGCCCCACCTGGCGTGGCTTGGTGTGGTGTGCTTTGCTGTGTTGTGCTGCACTTTTGTATAAAGTTTGCGGTATGTATTGTACACTGATGCGAGTGTGTGTGTTGGGGGGGGGGGGGGGGGGGGGGGGGGGGGAGAGGGAGAAGGAAGATGGTCGATGTCGGTCCTTTATTGATGCCATGAGTTTGGCGTCCTGTTCTGCAAGACTTTCAAGATGCCATTCGTGTGTTTCCGATATTCTGGAACTCAAATTTGCTTTTCTGCAGGTGGCGGCAGTCATGAACACTCTGTAAGGCTTGTGTTAAGCGGCGGGAGTTGTAGGCAGGGTCCGGCTGGATCGCACGGCTCGGTGCGTTGAGCGGCTGCGGCTGCGGCTGCGGCCCGGCTCGGGCGTGTCCAGCCCCCGCCGCTCGGCTGACACTCGGCCCGTGGTTGGCAGCCGGGGCCGGCAGTCCAGCGGCCGGCGCCGGCGCTCCGCTGGCCTCGTCCCCGGCGGGGGCGGCGGCCGTCCTGTCGCCGGCCGCCACGGCAGCGGCACCCGGCGGCAGCCCGGCGCCGCCGGCGGCCACGCCCCCCGGCCAGCCGCCGCCACCGCCGGCCGGTCAGGTGGCTCGGCAGCCGCCCCAGCAGACGCCGCAGTCGCAGCAGGCATCGCAGCAGCAACATCAGCAGCAACAGCAACAACAAGCGCTGCAGCAGCAGCAGCAACAACAAGCGCTGCAGCAAGCAGCATCAGCAACAGCAGGTCGCAGCAGAGGCAACAGCAGGCGCAACAGCAACAACAGCGCAACAGCAAAAGCAGGCACAACAGCAGCAACAGGCACAAAATCAAGCCTCAGCAGCAGCAGCCGCAACAGCCACCCCAAAAGCCTCAACTGCAGCAGCAGCAGCAGCAGCAACAGCCGACTCCTCAGCCGCCCCAGTCGGGTCAGCCGCCACAGCCGTCCCAGCTGCCCCAGCAGTCACGGCAGGCTCAGCCGCGCAGGGAGCGCAGCCATCGCAGCCATCGCAGCCATCACAGCCGCCGCCAGCCACCGAGGAGAAACAGGAGGGCGACGACGACGACGAGCTGCTCGGTCAGTGGCGGTGGGATGGTTCGAGTCTGTTCCGGCCTTTTTGGTACCGGCCAGTTTTGGATGAAGGCTTTATCAGGCATCCTGTCACGTGACATAGTTTGCTAAGTGGTTGCCGCGGGGATTGAGACTATTTATAAGTGACCTCCATAGAGTCGTCTCGCCTTACCATTAAGTGACGCTTATGTTCAATATACCAGTCCATGCCCTAGACGCATCGATTCAGCCTGATTTTTGCTCTTCGTCGTTCCGATGCCTGCCTTACACCCGCTCGCGGGTCCGCCCAGGTATCGGAGATGACTTCAACCTACTCAACTACGCGCATCCGGAGCTCGGTGAGCACAAGACGGTGCTAGAGCTGGTGGGCGAGGAGTCGGAGGAGCAGGAGAGCCGCGCCGAAGCCGACGGCGCGCGCCGCCCGGCGCCGCCGGCCGCTGGCTTCCGGGCCGGCCAGGCGCCGGCGGCGGCTGCCGCGCCCGGCACAGCCGCCGTCGTGCCCGGTGTCACCACGGCGTCCAGGTACGGGCGGCTCCGTGGCGGCCGGCGGGGCCAGGGAGGGTGCTGCGGCCCGTGTTGATATGACATGACCTGCAGCATGTAAGACGCTTCACTTGACAACGTTGTTCACGCATGCTTGTGGTCGGGATATCCGTAGATGGTAAGTGCGGTATGGTGTGACGTCAGATGCCGCTGGTGCTCGTGCTCCGAACGCCGCGTCGCTGGCGTCGACGTCACGCGCGCTGACCGCTTGTAGTCGTCGCCCGCAGTGCCGGCGCGGCGAGCCAGCTGGCGGCGCCGGGGCCACGCGCGCCGACCCGGCCGCCCGCCGCACGGCGCCATCCTGGTGCAGCGGCCGCTGCCGCCGGGCCAGCCGACGATGGGCGTGCCGGCGCCTGGGTACGGTGGGCTACGCGTCAGGCGTGCGGCCCCGCCGCCGTACCCGGGCCGGCCGGCAGGCGCGCCGCTGCCGCCGCCCCCTACCAGCAGGGCCGAGCGCAAGCCGGCCCTGCTGCAGGTGGGTGCCGGCGGTGCCGCCCGCTGCAGCCGACGCGCCGCGCCCGTCGACCCCCCACGCCCCGCTCAACTGCGGTGGTGACGGGTGTGTCCCTGTGCCGGGGTGGGAGGGAGGGAGGGGGGGGGGGGGGGCAGCAGGGCGGGGCTGTTCCCCGGTGTTCCCGGTGTGGCGACGCGTACGTGGAATGGCACACATTGCTGGAGCGTGTGCAGCAGACATACGTCGGGGGCTGCAGTGTGTGCTTGTGTTCATCACGTTCGGACTGGGACGTTTACCGGTGTTTCGCACACTGTGACGAGCATTTATCCGTGTCTCCCGCTCCGGCATTGGTTCGTTCATCGATGTTCCGTGTGCCGGGACAGGAGCAGCCCGCTGCTGCTGGCCGAACCTACTGGAGGAGGAGAGAAACGGGGAAGCAGCAGCGGCAGCAGCCGGCCGCCGCCGCCGTCGCCGCCGCCTCAGCCGGCGCCGCCCCCGGCGCGCAGCCCGCTACAGCCGCTCAGCGATATGGACTTTGAGAAGCTGAAGGCGGACGTGATGGCGGCGCCGGCGGTCGGCATGAGTCCGCCCGCGCAAGCCAGACCGATGGTCCGAGGTGAGTCGGCCGCCCGGCCGCTCGCCAGGTGACTTTGGGTGACAATTCCTCGGCCAGGCGACGCTCGCTGCTCTCAGCCTCCTTCACCTCCTCCAGAACCGTTTCGCTTTTGAAGCGGCTCATGTGTTTTTGGGAAGCGTGCCACGTCGTCTGCTATACGTCTGCGTGGCGTCGTGACGAGGTCGCCGCGGTTCGCGTTTTTCTGTGTCTGGGGAGTGCAGTGCTGACACCAGTGTGCCCGGCAGCCGAGTACGTTGCCGGGGCGGCCCCGGCGGCGCCCCATCCGCCCATGGGCCAGATGTACCAGGGCATGCAGACCATGGTGCGGCCCCAGATGGGCATGCAGCAGGTGCAGGCTGCCCACGACCCCGGCATCCACCCAGGTGAGACGCGTGACCGTA